CTCCGAGGGGCCTGCTGTCTCCCCTGTAATTAGCAAAGCTGTACAGGAGCAGGTGTTTCATGGCACACTGTGACTGTGACCCCAAGTTGGAGGTCTTGCCTAGCCCCCTTTCTTTCTCTCCTTTCTTTTGGGAGTGGCTTTTATGTCTCCCCCTGCTTACAGTTCGATCGTTTGCTTTCGAAGGCCTCTCTGAGTGGGGCGCATTGTCTGGGCTCGGTAGCAGCGTGGGCTGCAGAGTGCTCGGACACGGCCTGGATCTACTCATTGATAATTAGGCAAATGGGCTGGTCCAGGTGCGGACCGTGTGGGGACTCTGGAGCTGTATGAGGGGTAAGACAGGGTCCCGCAGTGAGCCCCTTACCGCCCCGCCCCACTGTTACAAGCACAGAGGGGGCTGGATGGTCTGGTTGCAGCTGGGCGAATAGGACCCCCTCCTTCCGCTCCCTCTTGCCCCTTCCTCCCCCCTTTTCCTTTCCTTTTCTGCTGCTCTGAGCTATCCCTACTGGGGAGAGGGGGCCTCTTTTGTCCCAAAACACACACACACACACACACACACACAAAATTTGAAAGACAGTAGCTGGATTTGCCAGTGCCTGTGAAATGAGGGGAGGCTTTGGAGCAAAATAAATTATCTACAGTTATCTGGAGATAACACCAGTTACCTGTTTCCAACGTTAATGTCACAATCTGCCATATACCCTTTACAAATGATGAAAATGTTTACATTCACCTACAAAAGATCTTATCACGCCACCCCCCACCACCACCACCACCACCACCACCACTCCCCAGCTACACTGCCCTGAAATTTGCACTGGCACTGTTTGTGTGACAGAGCCAGTGCAGATCGACGTTTCCATAAAGCCCCGGTCCCTCTTTACCTCCAGCCCCCGCCCTTCCCGCCCATTCGCCACACATAGATAGATAGAGAGATATAGATAGGGTGGGACATCCTGCAGCTGCCCCTTCACTATGGACACCCGGGCTTCAGCCAATAGCAGCCCCCCTCTCTTTTAGCTTCCAGAATGAAATCAGACAATTGTAATTGACAGGAAAGCAGAGGAAACGCCCCATTTAACCAGCACTCATGCTGAATCAAATTACACACCCTCTGTGTCTGCCTTAGCCCCAGCCTGGGGATTTCAGAGGGCTAGAGGAGAGCGGATGGGGGTAGGGATTAAAGCTGTTGAATGATAAGGGGGGGTTCATTTTGGCTGGAGAGACAGAGAAGAACGCTCCAATATAAATGAGACCCTGCAGATCTAGCAATTTTATTGATCATTCAAGTGTAGCAGGGAGTTTTGAGTTGTCACATGTGCTCCAGTAGTGAAGACAGGGAACACTGGTGATGCAGCAGGCCTTTGTGTTGTACTGGAGAACAATTAAAACTCGGCTTCTGTCTCAGAGAAAGATGAACGATTACAAATTGTGTCATCTAAGACGCAAAAGGTCCTTCCTTCTTTTTTTTTCCTTTTTTTTTTTTTCCAACAACAACATATAAAAGCAGCAGACCACTCGCATTACACGTGGACTGCAGGGAAAGCACTGTACTTGCAAACAGTACCTTGAAATCTATCAGATGTAGGAATAAAGAATAGTTTTTTTATGGATGGAGAAATTGCACAGTGGTTTGGCCTAAGCTTTCAACGTCAAATTCAAGGCAGTATGACACTGTTCTTTGAACTTAGTATTTTTGTTATTTTGTTTTCTGCCTTAATCTTTTTTATTAAAATAATGTCCTTACTTTGGCATACAAGGTAGCAACTTTGGCCTTTGACAGTACCGCCCACTAAACAACTTTTAAAGTCCTTATTTTTGGAGAGAAGAATGTGAATCAAAATGCTCGGGTGGGGATTAGAGGGATTCAGGAAATTAGGCCCTTAAAACACTTTACTTAAAATACAGAGTAAAGCACCTTATTACAAAACATGCGCATTTGATTAATACCAAACCGACCACTGATGGTGAAATATATTTCATAGAATCTGAAAGACATGCACATAAGGATTCCCTATCATTTTTTGTATTATGGTGGTTCTTGTTATTCTTAATACTACAGTAGTACTAGTGGTAATTTGGGAGACCTCTCGTCCATGTAGTCAATGCTGATGACTTGGTTGAGTTTTGCACTGGTTTAATGAAGAGAGGGCTTATTGGAGATTCTCCCAGTTTAGACGCTGTATAAGTTAATGAGTATTGTACTTTATGGGAAAGCACTCTGAGCATCTATGTAAATACAGTATGTGTATCAGTTACGAACATCCAGACAAAGGCCCGCTTGAAGTGAGGTTTTGATTATTTTTACAAACTGAAAGTGTCATTGTCAATGTTTTTAGCATATGGAATTCAAAATGTTTCTGGGTTTTAGGGAGAGTAAATCTTTTATATACGTGTCCCATCATCCTTTTGACGATAATAGTATATTAGATAGATCCATACATTTAAGAAATATTATTTAAACTGATTAACTTAGTATTTCATCCAAATATATAAATGAGAAATTAACCAGACACTACTATAAACTGTAATAATTAATATCCTTTATGAAACCGCTGATGTATAAATCCAATCTCAAATAAAAACTCGAATGAATAGTATGTGTAATAACCTAACCCCTACTGAATAAATCAGTTTCTATGTATATTAGGATGAAAAGCAATAATAGGACTATACTGGGACAATAAACAGAGGAGCCTGCTTAGTCAGTTCTTTAAATAATATTCTATTCAGAAATTGACCTTGATTATTAGGATAATACTGCTGCATTTCTGTCTCATATCTGCTTAAAATTCATTATGGATTCACGCCAGTGTAGTAACAGATATAATTAATTAGTAACAGTTTCAGGATAAAGTGATTGTTCTTGTTGTGTTCATCAGGGTCTCAGTCATTCGGTTGTTTCATTTTTACGTTGATATCAATCAGATCACAGAGGTGGGGTCGAGACAAACTTTTAAGGAATCCTCCTGCCAAGTAGCACTGAAACGACGACTTGGAGGGAATCTCATTGAGCTGGAAAAGTGATCGCTCAAGTGTAAACAAACAACAAGACCAGAGCAGGAGCACCGAGGTTTGTCCTGTTTGTTAAAAAGCAGGAGCTGGTGACTTTGCTTATGACAGACTGACGTCTTGAAGGCTTTGGTCGAAAAACATACACACAGCAGTGAGAAGTAAGGGGGTAGGGCAATGTGATACGATGTACTGTACCAGTCACTCTTTCACTGAAGTCATGTTGACCATGTGAAGAGCTTCGATTCTTCTTCTACACACAGGGGCAGACGAGTTACTTATAGCATATCTTAAGATGAGTTCTGTTTACATTGTGACGATAATAAGTTTCTGATTTCATGGCTCTATTTGATACTTGTGTTGCACCTACTTGTCATCTGTATTGTTTCTGAAGGAAAAAGGTCAGACATAGCCAAAGAACAATTTACGAGGAGGGGACATGAACTAACTTATCACTTGAGTTAACTTATTTTAGCATGAAAATCCGCTTGGTTTAGAGTTTATTGAATTAAGAAATAATCTCATAGGTTAGAATTACTCTGTTTACCCGAAAGTCTTCGAGGCCACTCAGTCGATATCTGTGAAATGAAGGCATATTATGTTTCCGTGTTGTAAGATTAGTTTAATACTACAGAGGCGCCGGTAACAGACTTACTTCTCCCAAAGAGACCAGCTTACAGCACATCCTGGCACTTACACAGTCCTTTGAGTAGTTTTCTATTGTCCTGGTTAGATCGTTGGGGGGGAAAAAACCACAGTCCAGGGAATGTCTTAATCTTTCTGAAAAACTTGACCGAGCTTGAGAAGTTGAGATAAAAAGGAACTGCCCAAGTAATTAAAACAAAAAAAAAAAAACAGGCTGAGAAGGAATCGTGTTGACAACGACAAGCCAGTGAAAATTCAGGCTGAATTCCTAATTTTTAAGACCCTCAGAGTAAATAGTAAGGGATTACCTTAGATGTAAACAAGGCGACAGTGTAACAGTGAACAAAACAACACTGTGGTTTGAGTTAATATCGTTTCCAGAGCCATTAACTGTATCCTTGAGTTTAACTGCATGTTAGTAAAATATAGTACAGTAGGTAAGATTTATCAGAAAAAAAGTTAAGATCACATAAAGAATTCATCAGCCTGATACCTGAAGTGTATAAAAAAGCTTTAAGACCTTAAAGTTGACATCGGTTTAAAATCATATATTTACCGTGTAGTTTAACTAATTGATACATAAAGTTTAATTATGATTCTTAAGAATATGCTAAGGCGTAAGTTTCATTTGTCCAAATCACCCAGTATGAAAAACTTTTTAATTCAGTGGAGCAACAAGGGGGTGGGGTGACTCACGGTGACATTTGATTCATTAAGTTCTTGTTAGTATTATTTACAATATTGTATTAAGCTTACTATTATAGTAATGGTAGAAACTGTTGATGTTTTTCTTCTCTTGATATGAAAAGGTCTTTATGCATTTATGTAGAATCCCTTTTAAGGAGTGATAGGAAATCCTTATTTTCAATGGATGCACTTAAGCAATTGTACCAACCTGTCGAAAATCACACATTGAGCAAGTAATGCATTTGAATGTAAAAAAAAAAAAAGACCACTCAACTTAATGCACTCCTTACGCTTATTGTTTCGTCAATTTACAAGTGAGCTTTAAGTTTTTGTTTGTTTTTTGGACAGAATTTGCGACAGGTTTTCAACGTAGACTATATTTGAGTTCTTCCACATACATTTATAGAAAGTAACTTAAAAAGAATAAAAAAAACATATTACAGTTTCTCAAATCTATTTTGCTAACATGGGTTATTATTTCATAGAAAGCAGAGGAAAAAAAAAGTCAGTATCTGGATGTTATTTATGAAAAGTTAAAAAATGAAGCAACATATTTATGAGTAACCTCAAGACATTTTGTTTTTTAATTAAAATTACAAGAAGTTAATATATTTCTAAACACAGGGAAGTCAGTTTCTACTAATAAGTAAAATGAGAAAAGAAGTTTAGAAGTTTTATTTATGAAAGTTATGGACGCTCGTCTTTTCCATGTACTTTATCGTGAATGAAGTAAATGGAACAACGAAGAGTTCCCCATAGCTTAAATTTTAACTTCAGACATGCGCTACGTCAACATCAGTGCATTCACAATGGAATAATTACAGAAAATAATATAATATTTTTTAGAATTTGGAGATATTTTAGTCACAGAGCATCAATTTTGTGCCTCAATTATATATTTTTCCTGCATCAGCATTCTTTGTGCAGTGCTGCTTGCTGTAACCCCTTTCTCCCCTTCAACTAACCCCATGTTACTGACTGAACCACATTACTCATTTCCTCTGTAATCTAAACTCGCTTTTACTTATCAAACGTATAAAACATGTTACGACTGCAACGCTTGGAATGAATGAGGTAGCTGTGACCCTCTCGCCAATAGGGCCACACATAACTTGTACACACTTTTCATTCATACATTTTCTACATCTACTACTCAGACAGTTTGTGATCGATAGCAGCAGAGTATAATCAGCTTAAAGAAAGTCTTTATGAGAGACTTTCCCTAATGTGTTAATTGGGAGAAGCGTGCGGATTGAGCGGAGGCATCTAGGAGAGGACAAGAGCGCACTGTGTAGTAGATCTATGTAACTAGATGCACACATATACACACAACAGATTCATTACCGTACTAGGTTGCATGTATGTTGTATGGTCACTTAGACAGGAGAAATGGCGCAGGTCCTGCGTTATCCTTTAACGTCAGCGCACTTGGGCTGTTTCTCCTCTGTAGATTTTCATAGTTGGAGTCTCTTTGGAAACTGGAAAGTTGACATGAGTTTGGAGCCAGGCAAAGAGACCATTTCAGTCCCCACATAAAAGTTGGAGTTTGTATTCTCAGTTACCTGATAGTGATGAAAGACTGTTCACACCTCATATGAATTAACTTGAAGTTCTTAGTTTGTGTAAGAGTTGATACAGATAAAGGAAAAAAAAAAACTTGACAAAAATACTACAATGGCACATTTTCTGCTGCATGTAAAGGATGGGGACTGAAGTGGTGCTTGCTGGTGAAACTCGCAACCTTTTCCAAAGAGGCCAATACAGTCTGACAGTTTGTCTTTGGTAGCGTTTCCAATTTTTCCAGCACAGTAGAGGTGTTTCATACCGGTCTAATAGTGGTCGTAGTGCATTAGTTTTTGGGCCAGCATCACCTGGCATTAGTTTCTGTGAACAGTGAAAGAGGGTTGCCACTGTGGCCCTCTGTGGCTGACCGTCAACTTTGATGGATGGAAAAAAAAAGAAGTCTTTGAACTCTGTTACAGTGTGCCATGCCCTTACAAGGCATGTGATATTGCAGGTTTATTTCTTATAGCACATGTTTTTTTGTGAATTACATTTTTTGGAGACATTTTTATTATTATTATTATTGTATCTGCGCCATGTTAGTTCTGGTTCTTTGTTATTTTTCCAAGATTCAAGATGTATTGTAAATGTTTCTAATAAAACAAAAATGAAATGATCTCCAATTGAAACCAATTGTGTTTTTTTTTTTAATTTTGTTTGAAGGGGGAGTACTTATGACTAAATCGATCCTTTGATGATAATGACTATTCATATTTAAATTTCAGTGATCAGAGGAACGGTATCATTTTACAGCACTGCAAATAGCTTGTTACCGAATCACAGTGGACATTAAGAATTGACTTCTATTATAGCCATGTCTGTATTCTGTGATTAGCAATCATGGTACCTAAAATCACGACTCATTCAATTAATTCTGCCCTTCTACCAGATTCACTAATGAAGACGCCAGCTACTTGCTCCCTTCATCGTTTTAAAACATCGTGAAGAGACACGAGAAGAGGCAGGCTATAACAAATGAGATTTATTTATACATATGCAGTCCAAATATACATATATTAGAATAAATGTTTAAAAAGCCCTAACCTACACCACCCAGTTCAAAACCTGTGAAGTCAACAGAAGTCAGTGTTGATGTGGGAACACATCAGCAGGATAAACGCCATCTGTGTGCATAACCTTTGGATTTAATCAAGCCCCTCCCAACACTACCATCCTCTTCTCCTTTTCCTCATCGCTTAAACTATTACATACTAACAAACCCAATCCTGGCTCCTGAATAGAACCCCCGCCCCCTCAACAGGAAATAAAGACAAGTGAGAGCGAGGGCAGACCTCAGGGAGATCCCAGAAGGCAGAGTCCTGTTCCAGTTATATACAGTGTGGAGAGAGACAGAGAGGAGTAGGTGAGCAGGCAGCGGAGGATTTCACTTACAGTAAAACAAGCCATCTCGGGTACATCAGAGATCACAGGAGCAGGGCAGGGCTGAGTGCCCTCACTACCTCATCTCCTGAAACATTATCCATCCATCCATCCATCCATCCAGCCATCCAGCCATCCATCCATCCATCCATCCCCGCTAGCAGCCAGCAGGAGCAGCAGTGCAGGGTTGTCCATGCATTTAAACATAATCTCTTCCACTACACCCAAATGTTCAGAGCAGGGGTGAAACGGTCATCAACAGTGCTGCTATCCCAGCGACATGTTAGGCAGTTAACGTATCCACAAGTGATGCAGCTATCCCATCTCGTTTAGAGTTAACGCTGTGCAAAGCTCACAAGAGCATGACTCATCTATAGAGTACAAAGTGTGCACAGAGCAGGAAAGGCTTCCAAACAAAGATCAAAAGCAATCAAAGAGAAATTACATGCCACTGTTTGGGAGGGATGTTATTGCTCTAAGTGGCCTGGTGGAATACAACTTGAACCGACCAACTTCGACCAACCTGCACATTTAGGAAAAAATTACTTGAAGCCCTTGCTCCTTCCATTAGTGAGGGACAGTTGCCCTTACAAGCTTCTCCACATAGAGATTTGATTGCAGGTAAAAGCAAAAGCACGAAAAGCAAGAGAGCTCCCTTTGCAATGAAGAATTCAGTGGGGAAAATCTGAACCAACCAGTGTTAAATTGCAAACCCTTTGGCCAAACAAGACCTTAATCTAGTGTTCAATAAATATTATCTGGGACACTTATCTAAATATTATACATTTTGGAAAAATGGGAATGACAGTGGCGACAGAGGGGTTGCAGATCAGTCTACTGGATGTGGATTTTTATTGCTCAATATCCAGGTAGTGGGGAACTGAGGGAGAGCATTTACCGGCTTGTAAAACAGAGCTTTCAAAGGGAGGACAGTTTGCAAAGACAGAAATCGTGACGAGATACAAAAGGGACCTCATAATGTTAAATTTTTCATTAGATTGTGAATCAATTCTGATCATGTACCTCTTTCAAAGCTATACAGGGTGCACCTCCCTATTCACACCCCCCTTGACTGCTTATCTAAACTTCTTTACCATCCCTCCTTCACTGGTCCCTCTCTTCATACTGTATTAAGTTTTCTTAACCAGACACTAGACAAATCAACCCCAGTATGTCCCTCTGTGAAATGGTTATTTCTACCTGTCTCTCCATTTTCCCTGTCCATCTGTCCATCTGTCTGTGTCTGTTTGTCTATGAGGCTGTTTCTCCATTTGCCTGGAGGTGAAGGAGGAGGTCAGTGATAAGGTCTCAGTTGGACTGGCAGCAGACGCCCTTGTTGGCTGAGTTTTGGGTGGGCTCGACCGTGATGGGCACCACGTTGGAGGCTGGTGAGAAGTCTGAGTCGCTTCGCCCTGACATCTGCCTCTGTGACACGATGTTGTAGATGGCTGTGATGGAGAGAGGAGTGAAAGGGAATGAGTTATGTGTAGATGCCTATAAATCCAGCCAACAGTGGGACATATTGTGATAAGGACAAACAGCATGGCAAAACTGAACAACAACTGTTCTATCCAGACTCCTGGCAGCAGTGCAGGATTCTTTCCATCCTAAACTGGCATCCTTATGTCATGTGGCAGTACCCAGTTTCATTTTAGGCATTCCCCACAGCTACAAGTTGCGGTGCCTTTTACATTAAAATTGCAATAACTAAATAAATATAATACATTATGTGTCTGTGACTTGGTTCTATAACCCTGCATGCTAATTCTGCTACACAAAAAAATTGAGTAAAACTACAAATTTGACAGACACTAGCAGTTTGAACACACAAGTGAACTTCAGTGTAGCTTTTTTAAGTTTTTTATTTTTTATTGTTCAACCTTCATCATCTACTTCTTCAATAATGCGATAAATGTCTGAATGCCAGTTACCTAAACTTTGGCTTAGATGCAATTGGGGTAGTCAGCTGATCAACTGAAGAGCGGAGTGCAAACCTGGATCTGACTTCCAGTTGCACACTGCCACTTTAACTCTAAACTACAGCCAGATGTGGAACACAACTCCTGAAATAAAAACTGCCCACGAAGCAAGAAGGTTTAAAGCAAAACAAGACTCCTGGCTGACAGTGACATGACACATCAGGTGGGGAAACTATAACTATAACTTTCTATAGATCCTACACCTGGTGCTGTGTCTGTATAGACAATAACGCAACAATATGACACTGTCTGACCTACAATCTTTCTGCTGCCGATAGCTACACGTGACGTCGTCTCTACTCCACTAGGTCTAAAGTTCAGCTCTTACTGGCCTGCTAATGCACTGCTAACTTCCTCTCTTCTCCTCCCTTAATGAGCTAATTAGCAGCGTTAGCTCAATGGGACTTGTTGGTTTGAAGTTTCTATGAATCTGAAATTACTCATAAGGCTGTGGTCTGGGCAGGGTGGCTCAAACGGCTAAAGCAGAAGCAGAGGGGAATTGAACATGGAGCAGAAGCTGAATACAAACAGTAAGTGGCACATACTTGCAGACTGATAGCCCCTGGAGCAATTGAAGTGGAAGCACCACTCGCTGTTGGATTGTCCCTTTAGGCACTCCAGGGGTTGACAGTCACAACAATTGCTTTTTTCTCCATGTTACCAAATCTCCAAGATCAAAACCCACTTGTCAGTGTGGCTATAAACCTCCTGGGGAAACTGCTCATAGACATTTACTTGAGGAAACACATCTGTGAACCAATATTAGAATTTCTCTCTTCAATAAGCAGATGCATCTGGTCCAGCGGGTCAAAGAGTGTTTGTGACCACAAACAAAGACCAGTGCGTAGTGGTTTGCTGGTGATTGCCTGTCTTCATAGTGGCTCTCCCCAGGACTGAGTGGCTGAGTGGTTTTTCAGTGTGCCAATTACTCACATTTTTCACCTTAATAATATAAAAAAAAAAGAAAAAAAAGAAAAATCGGGGGTGTTCTTTGCCACAGACTGCACATCAGTGGGAGACACAAAGAACTGATTACATGGATTTTGCTGCCATCTAGTGGCAGAAGATAGGCTTTGTTATGTAAACCATCAAAGTCTGGATGGACAGGCATCACATGAAGCACATATGAAGTATTAACGCTTTAGACATCAGTTGCATTCAGGATCAAATGCACGTTCAGTCTGTGATTTGATATAAACACAAAAAAGCAAAGAAATGTTAAATTCACCTGTGAGAATAGTTTGGAAAGCCAGCTCCACATTAGACGAGTCTAACGCTGATGTCTCCAGGAAAGACAAGCCATGCTTCTCTGTAAAGCACAAATGCACATAGTCCCATTATTAATCATTATATGTCTTTATTATTGTCAACTTTCATAACTACACTGAGCTGAGATATGGTGTACTTTTGTACTGTACTGGCATTAACAGTGCACTGATTCAGGATTTGATTTCTCCTACATAATACAGCACTCACTCCAGAGTTTTCCCCAGAGAGTGAAACTGCTTTGTAATTAAAGAAAACTGAATGGGTTTTATAACAGCTAACTGGTCTGCTCTGTGAAGAATATAATGGTTTACATTCTGATAAAAAAGAGAAACTCTGGAGTCAAAGAATATGGTTTGCTAGGAGGTACATATCCCATTTAAAAAGATTATAGTGCTGTATGACATATACAGACAAAAGAATAGTTTTATACATATAATAAACTATCTGTGTATAAAATGGCCCTTTTCACAGCAGATATTTTATCTTGTTACAGTAGGAAAAGCTCAGGTGTTACTGTTAAAGAGGACTTCTGTTCTATTCAAGTGTCCCAGTAAGCCCTGACAGTGTGTCAGTGGGCAAGCATGTACAATACCCTGAAACTGTGTGACTCTGAAGCAGTGAAATTAAATTCAGCCATTATTCATTTATTATTTACAGCTACTTACAACTTTTCTTACCATGACATAAAAAAGTTCAATAACAAACAGTAAGCACAAATTGAATCGTTTTTTAGTTTAATTAATCTTCTTATGCCGACCAACAACCGAAAACACCAAAAAAAAGTATGATACGAGATGTAACCGCTTGATATAAAGGAAATTAATCTGCAATTATTTTGATAACTGACTAAGCAGAACATTTGATGACCCCAAGTGAGGCGATAATTGTCACACAGTGGCATGGGTGCGGCATCAGACTGGTCGTTTGTCTTTGAGGAGAACCCTTCACTCGTGGCATTATCATACACTTTGCATAGATGCGTCTACAACATGGTCCTTATGCAAACTGAGAATCATAAACTAGGCAGGTGGTATAGGAAAAACAAATCAATACAAACAGGAAGCACTAACTGGTGAAAACATTACTGATATAGCAGCGAAAACGACTTTCTGTACTCTCATATGGATCAACAAGACTCAAGTATTTGACTCTCTTGCTTCCTGTCCCATTATAAGTCATTTACCAGTCAAAACAGGTGCAACAATGAATCAGACACAAGCTAATACACTCAAGGGCGAGCGTAAACATGTGGCCCAACCACTGTAAAATAATTAGTGTCAAAAGGTTGATAAAATTATTCATAACTGGACTGAAAGGCTCCCTGCTCTGAAACAAAGCCTTGAAATTCTCAAAGGTCAGAGATAAATGGAGGTTTAATTAATTTAAATCAAGTCCTTTTTACCTTAAGCTGTGCTTTATGTGCTGTAACACTTTCAAGCCAAGGACATATGCCATTTAGTGGACACATTAACACAAAATGCCTTACAGTATCACAGTGCAAACATTCCTGACATGTGGAAATGAGCGTGTTAGTTTGGCAGTGTTGCAAGTTTAAAAAAGCAGCCCAAACTAAACTGAGAGAAAAGGTAAGACGCCAAGTATAAGCATTAATTAAATTCACTGTCAGCAACACACATGATATTCTATAATGTACTTAAGGCCTAATTAAAGCAGTTTGGGGTCAGTTCATTTCATATGCTTATTATCACAGCTTTAACCTGGCTATAATCTAATGAGGCAGAGTCCTAGAACCTCACCGGCCAGTACAGGCTGCATACTATGCATAATGTGCTCACACAGACACACAATGTCATTAAAGAAACGATACCTGCAAAAGCCTTGGCCTCATCTGTGGGCACAGCCCTTAGGTGGCGTAGATCGCTTTTGTTTCCCACTAGCATGATGACTATGTTGCTGTCTGCGTGGTCCTGCAGCTCCTTCAGCCAGCGCTCAGCGTTTTCATACGTCAGGTGTTTGGCAATGTCATAAACCAAGAGAGCTCCAACTGCTCCACGGTAGTACCTGGACGACGTGAGAGGAGATGAACAAAATATAAATTGGAGTAACAATTTGTTGTTGGTACAGCCTGTTCTTTTCAGGATTCTTTGTGGGTGTGTGACATGGGCTCTGACAGCTCTGAAGCACAAGGACGTCTGATCAGCAACAATGGTAGAAACAGAAAAACAAAAGAAATAAAACTGTGAAGCTAAAACAGCTGCACACGAAGCTCATAACGCAAGTAAACACTGACTGAAACTACTTGTTTTAATCAAAGACTGGCTATGCTGACTGTCTACTTCCTCAGTGCCTGTGGGGGCCTGACACTGTACATGCCAAAGCCTCAGTGGCTGCTGCATCAAGGAAGACAACACAAAAAGAGACAAATGTTGGGATGGGAATTTGACCCAGAGATTAGGAGGAAGCCGTGGTTAACAAAACACTTCCTGCCCCAAGGCAAAAGGGTGCGTTTTATAGTTTTCATCACTTCTGATTAAATCTTTCCAGCTATTTTAGGAATGATGAAGCTGATCGATTGGTTTATTATAAATGTAACGCATCACAAAGAGGATGGGCCGTTGTTTCAAGTTTCTTTTGGTTGGAAGTTTATATCTGCTAAAGTCCCTACATTTTATAATACAGCCAAAGTTCATGTGACTGTGAATGAGTTTTGACAAAATAGCACATTAAAGTAAATAGATGAGGTGTGGCTCTGTAATGATAACATGCTTGTTTGGTCTGATGCATATGGATCTATGAGTGTGCTGGATTTAATTAAGAAGGTCCACTGTTTTCTTCAACTGAGCATGTACTGTGTGAAGTGGATATCTGTGGGTATGTGAGGAAGCGAGTTGGTGCACGACAGTGTGATCCCACAAAGGCTTTGATGATTTGCTCTCTTGTACTCACGCAGAAGTGATAGCTCGGTATCGCTCCTGTCCAGCTGTGTCCCAGATCTGAGCCTTGATGGTCTTGCCTTCTACCTGGATGCTGCGCGTGGCAAACTCCACCCCGATGGTGCTCTTGCTCTCCAGGTTGAACTCATTGCGGGTGAAGCGTGACAGCAGGTTACTCTTCCCTACACCTGAATCTCCGATCAGCACCACTATAGAAAATAAAGGGGATTTCAGACAAAGTAAGAGGAACAATCATTAGCATAGTCACATGGCACATTGTAACTCGCTGGCACAACAGAATCTCAATTTCAGTGTGGACAAAGAGAATGAAAAATATACATGGAGACCCGACCATACTGATGTATTTGATATTTGATGAGAGTGTTTGAGCAGCACAGCATACTCTTTGACTGGAGCTGTAAAGGGAAACTCATGGTAGACCAGTTCATTAAAGCACAAAGAAGTTGCACTGAACAAGATGGGTTGACTTTTTAAGATTAAATTTGATTCTCATTTCTACTAGATAGCCTGCCTCGCCAATGACGCACATTTGTGGCTCCCAGCTGACGAAGACCTGAACCTCAGAGGACTCCCACTAAGTACTCAAAATATTAGAACCACCTGCTCTTTGCAAGAAATACATGCAGTCTAAGCATATGAATCCAGGTGAAACCACTGACTTCCTGCTGATTTCACCCATCAAATGCACCTGAGTTATGACAGAATTTGACTGAAGGGCAGTAAATCAGAGAAAGAAAAATGTTTTATGCATGGAGATAACTGAGACACATATTGCACAAATCAGTATAAATGAGTTGTCCTGCTGTTTGCTGTATATAAATGTTTAGACATCAACTCCTCAAACTGGGTACTCACTCTAGTCTCAGCCAAACCTGTGCAGTAGTTTGTGCAAATGCCAAACACAAAATGCACTCAACCCTCCCCCAAAATAGCTTCAGTTAATAGGCCCACCATTTAACATTTCCCAAACAAAGCATAAAGATCGATCAAACTTGCTAACATCCCTTACAATGACTCCGCTTACAAAAAAGGGGCCTTGTGTTGGTCTACATATAAACTTCAGCAGGGTTTTTACTGACATAAGGGTAAGAGAGGTAAATGATTACATTTACAATTTAGAGAGAGTTATTCCTTTAATGCATAGTGCATAATCATGACAATAAAAAAAATAAGGCTTTTATGCTGTTTCTCCTCTTCCACTGGGTCCTTTCCTACAATGTATGGAACGAGGCATTAATAAGATGAGCGTTAGTCAGAAAACTACTTCCACAATTGTCAGGTGAGTCAATCTGTCAAAAGGAACCTACCACACCGGCACACCACCCTGCTATTAGGAAATAGGAACTTGTTATGGAATGTTGAAATTAGATGAACAAACCAACCACTGTGGCTACACATGCTTTTAAGCAATGCTGTTGTTTCTTAAGGGAAACTGTGTATAATTGGTCTGTTTGTCAGTGTTAATACAGAGTAACAGTAGAAACGTGTGTCCACATTAAGTGCTGGCTTATTTAGACTTGAAATAAAATAAAAAATACTACTACATGCCAAAAAAGGCAATACTATAATTTTCCGTTTTGTCCAATACAAAAGATCTTGGGCGGAGGACAAAAATCATTATACAATCATGTCCAAGTCATTCGCCATCAGACAGGTAATATCACAGCTTCATTACACACCCATTCACTAACCCTATTGTTGGGTTTGCATTCTTCAGCTAAAAAGATACGACACCTCTCTATTATGTTATACAAAACCTGCACCCAGTTACATAGCCAAGCCCACGACTGTCTGAATGAAGGAATGAAACTCATTCCTAGAATCTGAGTCTATCTTCCTGTTCAGTGGGATTAATTTATACACTGATATCTCCCTATAAATGGAATAAAAGATCACCATCCCATGTCCAATTTCATCATTTCCATTTTTCTGAAATTAAAGCAGTGTATAATGCTGGCTAAGGCAGGCGATCTAAAAGAGATACCTTCTATTAAAGCAGGATAATTATTTTCTTATCAGTGCTGATTTTATGGAATCAAATGCATCAATGAGATTCAAAAAATAGAAAATATATTCACTGAGAGATGGCTTTAACATAATTTACTCAGTTGGGTAGTTAATCAAAAGAGAACTGTCTAGGAAGGACCAGAAATGAAGCAGTTAGTATGACATTAAAAGGTTTCTAAAAAAAAACAAAACAAAAAAAAAACCTGGCGTTAAGGTTCGCTGCTTTCTTTAAAATGAACTATCTGAGGAATGAGCTATGATTTCAGCAGCAACATGACGTCCTGTGCTCTGTGCTGATGTCTCCATCAGTGGGGAAAGGTTTATGTGACTCACTGAGAGCTCACCCTACTTGAGTCATGCTATCCAACAGCGAGACACAAAAGGGGGTTGTAGGAACAAAGGAGAGCCAAAACACTTACGTTAGCTCTTCCCTGCTTTAAGCGAAAGACTGAATGGCAGCTGATACCTTATCAGTGTCCTTGCATTGCTGCACATGATTCAGATAAATTTGCTATTTGGTCACCAGAAACCATGTCACTTCATCCATGGACGGGCAAGTGAGTGAGCAAATCTCATCTTCTCTAAGCTCTGAAAGCGAGCTTCTCTGTGCCACATACACACTTTTAATGCAGGTAATACCAGTTTGACAACACATGCTTGTTTAGTGTTCTATATTTGAACAGACCATGGGCACTTCATTTCCCCCTGCTTATGACAAAGTACAACTGCCAAGCACTGGTTGTGCCAGACAGCCATATTGGAATAATCACTTCCCACTGTAGTATCTTTGATACCAGATAACACCTTGCAGGATAGTGTTTCTGCTGCTGCTTAATGTTATCTGGTCACCAGGAAAGCTTTTTAATAATTATACATGTTGCTTATTTATAGGGCTGCTGTTTTTGATCAATCTGATGATTATTTCTACATTGAAACACTAAAAACATTTGCAGGGCTGAATGTGGCATCTTCAAATGTCTTGTTTTGTTCAACCAAAAGTCCAAATACCCCAAAAATATTTTGTTTATAATGTTAAGTGACAAAGAGAAGCAGGAAATCCCCACATTTAAGAGACAGGAATCAGATTTGCTTGGAAAATGAAACATTTAATCAATTATCAAAGCAGTTGCTGACTAATTCCCTAATCGTTTCACCTTCAACTGGTTGTTAGAGCATATTAACAACTTTTATATTAGAGTGAAAGTGGTGTAATTGCTAGAGTTGTGTTAGGTATTGATAAAAGAGGATACGGACACTCAGGCTACAAACACAAGTGATTTCCAGTAGACCATGAAGTCCCCAGGTAGAAAACTGACGGACCAAACTCTCGTTTCTTCTGTAAACAAATCTCAATAGCGGCTGTTTTAATCTGTCGCCCTGTCACAGTTTATGACCCCTTGTTGACCAACGCTGCATCCCAAGATGATTGCATCATCGGCCTGCAAGATGATGACTCTACAGCAGATGCTGCTTAACGAGACACATAAGAGTCCTTGTAAGCCGCCTGCCAGTGCTGCAATCATATGGCTGGACGGTTATAACGTCATTTTGTAACTGAAGGCTCAACCAACAACAGTCAAAGTTGTTGGAGCTCGGAGCAGGTGCCTCTGTCTCCATGTCTGATAGACGTCGTCTTACACCTTGTTGTTAGGCATGCGGGTCAACGCTCCAGACAACTCGGCATCAAATGACGCTCACAGGTGAAGCGTTAGTGTCGACGTTTAGCTACCTAACTTAGCTCAAAGATAAACAGCGACTTACCTTTAAAGAGATAGTCATATTCGTCCTCTCTGTTGGTCATAGTTTCTCCTCTTCGGTGAATTTGCTCGAAGTCGAACAAACTTCTGGTGTATATCTACTCAGCTGCTACGAGACCAACCGACAGACCCCCTCGGTTCACGACTTTAGCCTCACACGAAAGACGGTTGATTTTCACTCAGACGACGACACCGCTGAATCCCTGTCAGAGTAGAGGAATATGACGCTGCTGTTGTTATCGAGCACAAAAACTCCCCCCAACGGCAACTACTAGCTGAAAAACTTTCGCCTCGTCTTCCTCACCCTCTGTCACTTGCCATTACCGAGGCTGCGACGTAACGTCAATTCCTTTGTCCAGCCCCTTCTTCGCTCCTATTGGTCAGTAGCTGAGCGACACCTGTCACTGGCGTTGACGCGATTGGTCCGCCCTGCTGTCGTTCATGATTTGGCCGCTGGTCGTTAACTTGGATGACGTCTGCGGGCCCCAAGCCACAACAGGTAATATCAAGCGTCAGGTTAGCTAGCAGCAGTAGCGAAGCCCGGCTGGCAAACAGTGCAACAAGTGTCAAAGTACGGATAGTTTGAGGTACATGGAGACCATGTGCAGGGTTTAATAACTCAAAAATAGGCCACACTCACTGACTTTGCTTATGAACATGATTTTGAACTGATGACATGTTTCACTAGCCTATGCGTTAGTGATTTTCGGGGGCCTCAGAGACAACAGTTGTAACATACAGTGTTTACCATTCTTCTTACACAGCACTACCCCTCCAAAACTATATAAATCTAACTAATAAAACATATGTAGCTGCAATTATCAGTCGATTAATTGGTTTATTGAATGACAGAAAATGAAGTGGCAACTGTTTTGATCATTTTAGTTTTAGTAATCCCTCCATCCCCTTAAATGTGAGGATTTGATAATAACAGGCTACATTAATTTAGAAAATAATCACCAGCTTAATAGATGATGATAATAATTGTTAGTTGCAGCCCTAAAAACATGAAATATTTCTTTATTTGGTGTAATAATATTTCATGGTCCTTTGGTTTGTCACTTTCATCAAATGTGCAAAAGTTTAGGGCAGAACAATAAAATATTTAATACTCTTCTACAAAAATGATTGATTTTGCTGTCAATATTTTTATGCAATCCCAAACAAGAGGGGAGTAATCAGTCAATGTCAGCAAAACAAGGGTTAATCAAATCTCCCTTTGTCCTCCTCCTTTAGGGCAAATAATTCAAGGTCAACTGCAGGTACACAGTCTGTGGTGCACACAGTGCCTGCAGTTGACCTTGAATTACATGCAGTTTGTTTAGTGGATGTCAAAGTAAGATAAAGTGATTCCTGTGGACTGATGTGAAAATTATTTTTTTAAGGACAATACCAGTCCCATTTATTTACCGTAAGTAGATATTTTGTGCCTGAATTGAATGAAAATTTTACCATTTGAAGTTGAAATATTGTGTTCATTTATTCATCACGTATTCTGTGTTTAAATAAGTCTTTTTTGACAGAACAGAATTTGCAGCAAAGATACAGAGAAGACAGGAAGCTATCCAATGCAGACATCTGACAGTTGACTAGGTTTTATCATTTCTGACTTAGTTTCAGGGTGTCTAGATAGATACTCAAAGTGGCACAGTGAAGTTTGGTTTTTGGTGTAAGGATTTGCTCGTATGTATCTGGCACTTCCCAAACACCCAAAGCAACAGTATAGAAAAGTATCGTAAAGTGTATAGAAAAGAAACTATAAGAAGCTAATACTAGATTCTATCTTGAAATGTGGGCTATACAAGCATGAGATATGAACAAATGTACCATATTTATTATCAACATAAACATTTCTATGAATTAAAATTGATTATAAAGTAAAAACAGAACAATAATACGTACATAGTCTAAACAGTAGTTGGTATTTCCCACAGTTAAAGACTTGGCAGAGTTGGAAAGACCCTGAAACGACTCTCAGCATTTAATGGGTTAATATATAAACATGTCACACAATTTCATTGTTTTTGCGACATTGACACCCAAATTCCTATGGTGGGTTGTATCTGAGGATAGCGACCTCTATGATCATTTAAGTTGGAGGACTTGTTTGGTTTTGTACACACAGTTTCCTGTTCATCTCTTGTTTACTCTGTCGCTATCATCCACTGACGTCCCATAAAAGTGACAGCTGGTTTGGTTTTACTGTTTTTAAATTTGATGCAGGGAGGAAACTTTCATGTCATATCATCCCAGCTCTTTTAAGAGGCCTGTGCACTAATTCACTGCATGCATTATTCTGGCAGGGATAGGCAAAATTAATTGGGCCAGTTAATTATCTCAGCTCATGCAGAGGAAAAACAAGATATCATGCTTGAAAAGGTTGCACACCTACCTAACCTAAACCCTAACCCTGACTTGAACAGTTTGAGAAGGGGTTCAGATCACAAACATGTTTTAACACTTTGACTCATAAAACAACTGAGATTTTAGCTAACCACAGGAAATTATTTTTCACTATTGTAGTGTGCAGTGTTGCGATTGACAATCAGCACTAACCTGGTATTTCTAATTACTTGAAAATTCTATTGTTGTAAGACAAAAATAACACACAACAGGCTAACTGTCTCCATAAATCATTTATGTCTCAACAGAAATACATTCAGTCTCATCATAGATCAGTCAGTACATAAAATATTCACCACCAACTAAACTGTTGATTTGAAGAAAACATAAAACAGTCTTATGTCATTCACTTTCAAAACCTTACCCATGCTATGATTTTTCCAATTTTCTGCATGAATATATATAAATATTTTATCTTACAGGTAACACAGTTTTGTGTTTTACCACTGACGTATGTTCAGCGGTCAGCAGGGACTCTTAAAAGACTGATGCTGGTTTCCAGCTACATTCATTCAAACATCCTTTGAACACCTCACACCACCATGTAGCTCTTACAACTTGTAAATCAGTCATTTTGAAGAGGCATCTTAAGCCAGGACCGTTAATATTGGTACCCATGGCTGCCATGGTGCCTGCCTCTTGTCAAGCTCTTGCACAGGGTTGTGGGTGAAGAAGGAGTTCACCTGTCACCCACCCTGTGGCCCCCTGGGCTCCTGGGGGATGGTGTAATCAGATGTTCCTGCAGCAGGGCTTATTCTCCTCTGTGTTTTCTGCACTGGGGCTGTTCAGGGACACGGCACTGATGGAGCCTCGAACCACTTCCTTACTGCTAACCTTTCTGTGAATGTCTGAAACAAGACATTGACACACATTATTATCCACTTACATTATGTTAGCATAGAAAGAAGGTACACAGTGTTCTCAGGCTTTGACAGGAAAACATAGCACAACCCCTTTGATAACAAAACAAAGTATATGCCACTCCATCCTGCACAAAAGTTGAAAAGAAAAGGACAGCATCACTTCAAGTTGTTGTTAAAGTTGTTCATTTCCAGCCTCAAACCAACCAGAAGTGTTCCCTCCCAAAGCAGTCAATCAAATAGCTGCCCCAGAGCTACCAAAGGTCGTGTTATCCTGACCCTTCCCTGGCCTCCACGAGCTGAGGAGATGGATGTTCTGGCTATGTGAGGTTAAATTTACGCTCACAGAGTGAAGCCTTATCCCAGCATATTTATGGGAAAATGTGTGCTTCCAGTTCACATCATTTGTTATTAAGTTTTTGGGGAGGAGAGACAGGAAGGGAGAGACATTCAAGACGAAAGCTTTAAGGGAGCCCACATTTGTGTAATGGCTATTACCAAAGTAGTAAAAAAAAGTTTAAATGAATTACCTGCTAGGACATTGTTGAATGCTGCTTCCACATTAGTTGACTCCAAGGCTGAAGTCTCCAGAAACAAAAGTCCTTTCTTTTCTGGATAATACAAATGAGATAAGTTAGTTATTTTATATTTAGTAAATTCAAATTTGTTGTCATTTTCTCACTCTGACTTTGTCACAGTGGCCTAAAATACAAGATTTCACTGCCAAATCCTCAGAGAAACTGGGCCCTATAGCAACATCACATAATGTATCTTTAACCATCGACTGGAGTCAACAAGTGAGAATTTATAGCCACTTTTTTCACCATGAAGAATGCAGGACTAATTTCCATTCTCTACAGTCATAAATTCAATTTTCATAAACTAATTATGAACAATCAATGCACAATTCCTGTGCAATGATTTCTAGCACAGAGAAAACACTTGTTGACTTTATACCTGCAAAGTCTTTGGCCTCCTCAGTGGGCACAGATCTCTCCGACTCCAGGTCAGTCTTGTTGCCCACCAGCATCACCACAATGTGGGGGTCAGCGTGGTCGTAGAGCTCCTTCAGCCAGCGCTCCACACTCTCATAGGTAAGGTGTTTTGTTATGTCATAGACCAGCAGGGCTCCAACAGCACCTCTGTAATACCTGTTTGGAGGAGATTGACTTTACAGTAAGTCCTTATGTCACATTTAGGTGTTTTATTTGTTTGTACATGGAGCTGCTTGAATAAAAAGTGAATTGTTTGATCGGCACACATTATTTGGAGTTGTAGTTTTTGCCATTCATGAATTTAAGTCCAATATTTATTCTCCTTTTAGCTATGTTTTGGTCTCTACCAACTCTGCACGACGGAAACTTTGTATGTCTTTGATTTAGTGCTGGGCAGGAAGCATGAAGTTGGTTTTTAGAGAGAACCGTTACAGTGTGGACCAAAACAAACTGAAAGTCGACATGAAGCTCTGCAGAGATGAGAAGAGCTGTAGTCAGGTGATAATTCTCTGTAGGTTCATCACTAACAGTGACCTCTAGTCATCTGATTCAAAAAAAAAAAAGCTGCTTTAAGCACTGTCCTGTCCTCAGTGATAATAAGCCCTTTCTCCTGCTGTTGATTGAAAAACTTCAATGGCTGACAATTGCTCTGAAGTCATGAACCAATCAATACATCCTTCACAATTACATTTCTGCTCCACTCTTCCAGCAGCATAATTAATTCCACTTTAATAGGTTTTAGCTGCTTGTTACAGCACAAATGGGAAATTCCATGGGAGTGAGAATTTGCATACTAGTCGATGTGTAATTACTGAAAAAGCTAAGCAGTCAGAAAAGAGCTAATCCAGCGGTGTAGCATATCCTCCGATTTTTTTCCATGTCTTAAAAATAAAATTGACATGGTTTTATTGTTTTAAAACCAGTTTTCCACTGTTAATCCTCCTGGTTTAATTAAAAAAAAAGAATGAATCAGGGGCACCCGCAGATAGAACAGAGACTCGCTGAGGGTGGAGCGTTCAAATACACGTCTCTGCTTTAACCAACGGGATTTTGGAAGCAGTGTGCCGGTTAAAACCTGACATACAGGTTGTTCAACAGCTATGGTGCATAAAATGTTGATTTAAAAAAAAACTGTCTTTACCTGTTTGGAGGAGACTGACTCCTTATGTGACATTTAGGTGTCTTATTTGTTTGTCATGGAGCTACCTGTTACATATAAGGTGATATAAATAAAAAGTGAATTGTTTAATCCAGTGGTTCTTAAACTTTCTCATCAAGGACCCATAAACTGACACAAATTAGACCACTGGCCCCCATTTGATAAGGTTTTGTCCCAGGGTCCCCCATCATATTTTTGCTATTAGATGTTTTATTACAGAAAGTGTTTGAAACTCATGACCAAAACAGTCATGTCACTGTGTTACTTATGGATGGAAATATAGTGAAAATAAATTATTCCCCTCTTTCAGAACCGCTGGTTGAACAAAAAATGTAATATTGGTGTAATATTTAATCATAAAATAAAAAAAGCCTTAAAAACTTTAGGACACATAACCCAGACATACAGCTGTGGTGTGTGTGTGTGTGTGTGTGTGTGTGTGAGAATGGGTACACGTGTATATACTAATATATCTATAAAAGCTGCTGGGTCTCGGCACTCACGCTGAAGTGATGGCCCGGTATCGCTCCAGTCCGGCTGTGTCCCAGATCTGGGCCTTAATGGTGAAGCCGCTGAGCTGCACGGTCCGTGTGCTGAACTCCACCCCGATGGTTGTGCGAGTGTCATGGTTAAACTCATTTTTGGTGAAACGGGACAACAGGTTGCTCTTGCCTACACCAGATTCACCAATCAGAACCACTGGAGAGGAAACAAACCACAGAGCCATTTTAATTAGAGCTCCAGGCTTTGGGTTAGGTTGTTGCAAAAGTAAACCCAGTATGTCTTAGATAAATGAGACAAAACAAATATTCCCAGAGCCAAATATGAGCCAATCCTGTTCACATCATCCTTAACAGAAGCTTTTAGTCAAGGTGTGTCTTTTTTTGGCTGCCCCATAAATCCACAGCTGTGGCCGTCTGACTGGGGCTAATTACGCCATCAGGGATATAGTGTCCTGTTTTAAAAGCAACACCACACCCACAAGGTAAATACGTTAATTATTTCAAATTGGGGATGTAGAGAGGGTGTTGGCCTATAACAGAAAACACCATTACTGATTAGTAAAGAGGTAAAATGACATCCATCCATACATGTGTCCTATTTATCCTACTGAGGATTTAGTGAGGCTATAGGCTATCGCAGTATACACTGGAGGAGAGGCCAGGTGTAAAATACACTGCTCGTTCTGTTTATTCTTTTATTTCCAGAGCAGGAAGTGATGGTTACAAAATATGAGAAGCAAAACACAGGCAGTATTGGAGGTGGACGCCTTTAAAGTAGACATTTTGAAGTTTTATTTTTACTTTTCTTTTGCTCAAGGTACCTTCATTTGTCCTTAATTTCCAGAAAATTGCCAAAGAGCAGTGTTTTCATTCACTGAAGCCATGTATTTTACCAAATCTGAAGGACAAATATACTGTATTTTGTATTTCCTTTCACATTGGTCAGCTCTATGGCTAAGACACACACTTCCTCCTCTGGAAAACTGAAAACCTTTGCGGTAAAAACCTCTCACAAGTCACCCTTTGTTTCAGAAAATAACAGTCTCTGTAAGGTGATTCCAAATCAGGTGGAACAAGTTAAGATGCCACTTCCTTAAATCTTGCCCTGAGAACCTACCTACTGGGTAAACAGGACAAGAAATAGCACAGACACCCCCTCTGTACATTTCTGTGACTAATGTTTGGGTTTCAGTTGTTAGTGGCTGAGTCAGAGAGAAAAAAAGGCTTGGCTTAATGGGCACAGATAGGAAAGTATGACCACACTGTGAAAACACCGCGGCAAAAGGATCTCTGCACATTTTGGTTAAGACACAGTCACAGCTTATTGCTGAGGTGTGTGAGCTCGAGAACGCTGAGATAATAATCCAAGTTCTTGTGACATCTCCACAGCCATTAAATATGGATTTAGAGTGTGGTGGGAGTTAAGTGAATAGTTAGACATTTTGGATGATGCATTTATTTAGCTTTCTTGCTGAGACTCTCATAAATACTTAAAATGTGAGGCTACAGTCGGCAGACGATTGGTTTAGCTTAGCACAGAGCCATATTTCCATCTTTATACTATGCTAAAACCACAAATTTTGTTGTTTTCATTTTTGTATACCTTAGAGGTGTTGCTAGGCAGATTGTTTTATTCCAACTTACAGAGCCAGGCTAGCTGTTTTCCTTTGCTTCCAGTCTGTATGCTAAGGTAAGCTAATCACCTGCTAGCTAACATCGTATTCAGCGCACAGGCATGTGAGTGGTATTAATCTTCTCATCTATTTAGCAAGAAAGTGAATAGTCCAATTTCCCCAAATGTCAAACTATAACTGGGGCACTTTATCTAAAGAATTAAATTTAAATAAATTTAAATAAATTTAGTCATAATTAAATTTAGTCATAATTACACACGTCATTAAACAGCTCTCTTGTACATTATTTGATTGAAAAGGTGAAAGTGACAGTACAACCAGCTGATTCCCACTGTTTAGTTACTTAATTTAAGCTTAAAATTACGTGGGTTTAAAAGTTTTATCAACATACAATAATAAAGATTTGCCCATTTAGATTTCCCAGTTATTGAACTAGGCAACACCACAATAACACAATCTTTCTAGAGACAGTGGAAAGACGGTGAAGACTGTTTCACACTATCAGTATCAGTAGGCCTACATTTACTCCAGTACTGTGCTTGATTACAGTTTACAGAGGGAACTTGTACTTACCCAGCAGTATAAGTTGTTCATTATGAGTGCTTTCACTTTTAATACTTAAAGTACATTTTGCATCTAATACTTTACCATTTAAATCACTTTACCATAATGATTTACCATAATCAGAGGGTTTGTTGATGTATACATTTTCATTTTTTTCCAAACATTTTTAAGGATTTCTAATCCATGTTGGTTTTAAAGTTGAAGTTCAAAGTTCAAAGTTCATTCTCAACATCGCAAAAGAAAAAAAGTTAAGAAAACAGTCTCCCTACAATGTTCATTTACTAACTGGTACGTTTTGTCCTGAACACCTGCTGATTCCCACGAATCTTAAAGCACAAATAACTAAATAACCTCCAGGTCTTAACTTACAGTATGTTTAACAGGAAGTCTGAGGTCATGGCAAAGAATGTTTTACAAGTTGCTCTACTTTGGCATGTTTAGGTAATTGTTCACTCTGGAGCCACAAAACAGGGCTTTTTTCCAGTGGGTGAGAATGTCTGTTTTCCTCTTCTTCTCTTCTACTATTGAGTAACTTCTTATTCAAACAATACCCCTGGTTTCTATGGCGATACAAGACAAGAGGCCTTCACGCTCTCCGGCGGCCTGGATTGTGAATTCTGAGGAAGCTAGGACAAACTTCATGTGTTGCAGTGAGGATTAAATTTTCCTTTTGTTTGTCTTCACGACCTTCAGGACTGGAAATGCAACTACTACACTATTGCTCATGGTGGAAACCTATAATAATTCAGGCCTATATCCAACTGACCAAGGTTTCATTCTGACAAGCGACTTATTCATTCATGTTTAATTAAATTGAATTTAATTAAAACTATTTTTCCTTAAATGTGCACTATTATACATTGGCATATGTGTATTTGTCTGTAAGTTAACTTTACATACCTGGCAACCCTAATTTTATGCAACAGTACAAAAAGTTAAATAAGGCAAACATTATATAATCTGATTTTACTGATTAGTTTCTCTGAGCTATCAGTGAATCTCTTGGTGGAATGAATACTATGATAGATATGATAGATAGATACTATGGCACAGACAGCAAGGAGCACTGCAGTAGTGAGTGAGTCTATTCAATGATAGTAATCGGTTTCTTAGAGAATTTACAATTTGCAGGCAGGAGGAGGGACACCTCCTCTGTTGCTGCTTCTGAGGGTTCTCCACACATAACCCCCCATAAATAACCCCCAACATGTCGCTTTTACACTGGAGTTTTTGAACAGATTAAACAAACAAAATATAATGTGTTAATTATTGAGCCTTAGAGGTGCTGGTAGGAAGATTTTGTTATCTTTGGACAGAACCAGGTTAGCTGGTTTCCCCTGCTTCCAGTCTTTATGCTAAGCTAAGATAACTGGCTGCTGGATGCAGCTTTAAAATTAGCATAGAGACATGACAGTGATATCAATCTTTTTATCTACCTCTCCACAGGAATAAGCTTTAATCCTCTAAATGTAAACATGTTCCTTTAATGTATATTTATTGAAATTCATTTCTACGAGATATTTTTTTGGTCTTAACTTGTATCAGCACAGGCATAATGCAGCTTTATAGCAGAAAGAATATCACTTTGGACTCTGGCTGTAGCCTTATATGTAACGGACAGGTTGATCTTCTCATCTGAATCTTGGCATGAAAGCAAATACACATAATTTACAAGGTGTTTAAAGATTTTTAGGGGGAGTTGTGTAGAGATAGAGAGGAAGTGTGTGTGTGTGTGTGTGTGTGTGTGTGTGTGTGTGTGTGTGTGTGTGTGTGTGTGTGTGTGTGTGTGTGTGTGAGAGAGAGACAGAAATTNGCTTCCAGTCTTTATGCTAAGCTAAGATAACTGGCTGCTGGATGCAGCTTTAAAATTAGCATAGAGACATGACAGTGATATCAATCTTTTTATCTACCTCTCCACAGGAATAAGCTTTAATCCTCTAAATGTAAACATGTTCCTTTAATGTATATTTATTGAAATTCATTTCTACGAGATATTTTTTTGGTCTTAACTTGTATCAGCACAGGCATAATGCAGCTTTATAGCAGAAAGAATATCACTTTGGACTCTGGCTGTAGCCTTATATGTAACGGACAGGTTGATCTTCTCATCTGAATCTTGGCATGAAAGCAAATACACATAATTTACAAGGTGTTTAAAGATTTTTAGGGGGAGTTGTGTAGAGATAGAGAGGAAGTGTGTGTGTGTGTGTGTGTGTGTGTGTGTGTGAGGGTTCCCTCCAGGAATTGAATCCCACATGGAAAAGAGATGTTATCGATATGATATGGATGTGGCATGTGCCTTTACCATTAGGCCTCCAGGGACCCCCCCCCCCCTGTATTCTGTATGAATACAACTGACTTGACTGTCTACATACTTTATCCTGCAGTGGAACTCCATAGTGAAGTAAGTGATGCTGTTTGATGTTTTGAATACAGTGATTGTGACTTCTCCATCCACCTACCTTCTATCCATCTGGTGCTTTTTTTATCAAAATGGCATTTTTCTACCAAAATGTCAAATCACTGTACCTGAACCAAATCACCTTTCTGAATGACTTTTATTTCTCTTGTACATCTGTTAAGAACCATCTGGTGCCGTAAGCAGCTGCATATAGGAAACTGATTACTATTCTATGTAGGTTGAGTGCAGAATTAATTGAGTGAGTAGCACATGGTGATACTTTTCAAAGAAAAAAGCCTTTTTCAAGTCCAGTTCTGATGCACTAGCAACTTGTTTATACGTTATATTTGTGAAAAATGGCTCCGGTATACTTATAATAATAAACAGGAATTAAAGTACACATCCTGGTTTCAACAGTAGCCTGTGGTATGCATGTGCTTTCCCTGAGACAACATACTGACCAGGTAATGTGTGATTACAGTATCACTCAACTTTGTAGGCTAGTAATGCAACTCTTTCACCTGAAGCAAAAGTTTACCTAAACAAATCTATTTATCAAACAGCTGACTGTCATCCAGAGACACAACTCCAGGCTATTAACTGTCTATGTTATGTGGTATTATCTACTGTTTATTATAATAAGTGGTTTTTCACTAATAGTCTGTTTTATTCTGTCGACAAAAACAACACAATTCCTGTTCCTATTACCAAGTTAATAATAAACAAGGAAGTAAAACTTCAATGACAAAGCAACATTATAGAATGACACTTAAACCCTGATAGGAACATACCTGGGGATCAAATTAAATTCAAACTAAGCAGAACACATGTACTCACCCTTAAAGACAAAGTTGTAGGCCTCATCTGACCCCATGTTCTGTCCATTCAGTGTTGCCGCCCCACACTCTACTGCCGTGTCTCCGGCTCTCGCAGACTGATCACAGGATGTAAGATGACACTGACCCACACCAAAACCAATCTGCCTCTCAGATCCTCAGGCGTCAGGAGAGAAAATGGCTGCAAAAATGTTTTGACACATGAGTGCCAGTCACCAGCTTTCTACCCTTCACTACCCTTCCCTATCTGAGTTAATAGAAAGCTGCTTGTTTGAACAAGACATGTGGAGTGTATCCAGGCTGTTCTGCTGCAGCAGGCGGGGTTTGTGTCAGGGAGTGGTGGAGCAGTGATGGAGGTGTGTCTTAGTAATGGAGCCAGCGCAGGGCAGGTTGGACAGGTAGGGCGACTACCAGGTAGGGCTGATGGGGGCCTGTCAGGTGCCTCCTGGTGGAAGAATCAGATGACAGTATGCAGGAAGCAAATAGCAAAAATTCTTCTTGCTTCATTGCTGAAAGGAAAAAAACACATAGTACATGGTGTTTCTATAATAAAACAGGTCAATTTCGACTTGTGGATTTTTAATCAGTTACTTTTTCGGCCCAACAGCAGAGAAAATAACAAAACAGCACCTTGGACACTATGAAACCATCCCTGCTGGGTTTACAGGAATGTGCACACATGCATACTATTTTACTATTTCCATCTCCCACGGCCAATAAAAACCACCTCTGTTTTTCAAATCCTGTTTTAATATCCAGGCCTGTTGATCCCATCAGATCCCCTTGTCTGCTGGCCTGTTTCTAAAAATGTGCAGTGACGGAGACTAATTCCTGGACATGTATGTGCGTAATTACAGTGATTATGTATCAAAATATTGGATTTTAAAACTTAGTTTGAGTTGTTTTTTTCCGATTCTATTACATTGAGACCTGACTCATTAAATCAGATATCTGTCTTCTTCCTCCTTTGCACTTTGCAGAAAAGGTCAAGGTCACTGAAACTCTAGAGTCTTAGATTTTGTATTCTGGGCCATAAATGCACTGTGAGGACATATTCATAAGCGTTTTTAGCCCAGTCATGGTTAACTCAGCTCTGTGTATCCGACTGTTACAATCTTAAAAACAGGAAACTGAAAACTTTTGAGGCTCCTCGTCTTTTTGATTTAATTTAAGTAGTAACTTATCAAAATATCTTACATTATTACCCATAAATGCTTCTAAACACTGATTCACTCTGCTATTCAAATGATTTTACCGGTATTCATTTTGGGTTTTCAGGCAAGTGAGCAAAGCAAAGAGTAAAAGATGGGAAGCATGTATATACTGTGATTATCTACCAGAAATATTTCACAACAAAAGGATGCAAAAAAGGAAATTGTAGTGTTGGCACAAAGTGGTAGATAAATAGATAATGTTTCTACTTTGACAATAAAATTAAATTTGTATCAAAGAATACTGATACTATGGCGACATTCACAGCTAATCCTGGTAACCCTGTGAACCATCTCTGTGTTTGTGCCCACACACGTAAACCCAGAGCACTCAGTTGAGAACAAAAAAACACAAAAATAGGATTGTGTGAATATTAATCCAAAAAATTGTTTATTTGACAGCTTTGAAACTAAAAGTAGCAAATAATCTTTACTGGGATTTTATCAGACAGAAATTCTCATTAAACTTTCCATACACTTCATAATATGCACATTAGGCCACTGATAGGATCCAAAATGCTCAACATGTCTGAGCTAAAACTGCGTATGAGTGAATCAACCGTGAGACCAGCTGATGATGGAACCACGTCAGCGGTTGGACATGCAGACATCCTACTGATAAACTGCCTGGACTTTTGAAACAGATCATTAAATTAACAGATTCATAAATGAGGGCAAAGAGTTAAAAAACCCCATATTGTGATTATAAATACACTGACACACACATCCCTAACACAGACATACACACACGTTCACTCACACACTCATAGATATTTATGCATTACGCACTTTGTGAACAAACAGAATGTTACAACAGTCCATGAAAGACCTGGATTATATGACACTGTCTTTTCCAGGCAGACAGAAGCGACACAGACACACACACACACACACACACACACACACACACACACACACACACACACACATCTCCACTATGATGCAGCCACTTGGGTTAATGGTTCCTCCAGGTACTGCACCAGTGCTTCTGCCTATAAACACAACAAAGACAACATAATGTCAAGAAAGGATGTATGCAGAGTGAGGAGTGATGCTTGGAATAGTTTCAGCCATTATGCTTCTGTACTGTGACTCATACAGTACGAGCTGCACTATGACGCTTCCTCCAAAACTGATCTGTCACGTTTACTGCCGACACAACTGGTTTTAAATGATTTAAAGATGAACACTGCATCATACAGTGCAGTATGGACCTGCAGTGATTTGTTAATTCATTGATAAACTGATTGACAGAAAAGCAATCATGCACTATTCTGATAATAAATTCATTGTTTAAGTAGTTTTTTGGGGTAAAAAATGACAAATATTTGATCATTTCAGCTCCTCGGATGTGAGGATGTGCTGCTTTTCCTTTTCTGACATCACACTAAATTGAATCTCTGAGTTTTAGACTGTTTCTTTTTGATAAAACAAAACACCTGATGATATCGTCTTGGCCTCTAGTAAACTGTGATGAGTATTTTTCACTGCTTTACAATGACTTATAGACTAAACAACCAAATAGTTCTCAGATTAATCAATAATGAAAATAATCATTAGTTGCAGCCCTCGTGCAGCAAACTGGTATATTTTTCTGTCATATTTTCGAAGAACACTGAAGACTTAAGTACTTGGTACAGAGTCAGTATACCACAATGCCACATTCCCTTGCATTTTGAAAACCTAACTGAAATCTGCCACATCAAGAACCTGCAGGTGTGAATGCTGATTTTTTTTCCAGTTCATCTTTCACCATCATAAAAATATATTCACACGCAATGTTTGATATAGTGTACTGAAAGAAAAAGAAAAAAGCTTGAATGCTGGGGGCTCCTGCACAATACCTGTGCAACTCTCCCACTTGTGAACTCATTGTTTGAAAGTGAAATTACCCCAAGATAAATTATGAAGATTTCCATGAGGTTTGAAACCTGCTGTGTGACACAGCTGTGGTCAGAATGTTGCAGATATAATACCGGCCATGCTTCAGTATCAAATGATGGGAGAAGACATTGTTTACATTGATCATATGTTGGAGCTCTGAAGCTTGCAAAGTGCAATAAGCACTTGTCATGTGCATGTCTTTATCTAACCTTGCATCTTGCCGTTTCCCCCATTTAAAATTTAAAACCAAATCTACCGTGTTTAAAAATGCCCAAGTGTATATGTTAATTGGTTCTTCATCATACAAGAAGGTATATCCTTAACCTTCATGACTGAATTAATGTACATTAAAAATGTGCAGCAACCCCACATATACAATTGAGCTCAGCAAGTACAGAAGGCCACAGCGAATATATGAAATAGCATACCAACAAAAGCAGGGCATCGTTTGTACGGTGAAGCAATGACAGACAACAGCACCCACTGCTAGTGTGTTAAAACTCTCACCTTGGCTTTAAGCATTCCAAAGCCCACTGTCTCTTTGGCGTACATACACAGCAGTAGGTTGGCCACACGAGTAATGGCCACTCTTCCCTCCTGAGAGAGAAATCAAGAGATACAAAGTCAGCGCCCCACTCATCATTCACCTGAGAATAATTTCATTGGTTTTGGTAGAACTGTGCCTCTTACCATACAATCCATGAGTATGAATTTGAGTTTGTCTTCATTGAAGGCTTGGTGGCCGTTCTTGTCGTAGGCTGCCCAGATGTTGCTTGCGATGGCAGCTGTCACTCGTGCGTCAGTGTCTCCATACCCAGAGTAGGCCAGAAGTGAACCTTCATTATTCAGTAGGCTGGTGAAAATTTAAAGTTCGATGTTTCAGTATCTAGTAGATTAACATATGACCACACACCATACAGTCTATGAACTTTACTCAAGCTATCTCTGTCAAGCTACCTATCATTAAATGTAATATTTACTACAGGGATAAGGGATGCAGTGGAAGGGTGGACCACCTGAACAGAAGGTTACCAAGTATAAACGGAATATAAAGTGATATCCCACTGTCTGATCTATTTACAAACATGTAATTATTATGAATTATGTTACTTTTTGATGCATGATATAATAATCATGTGCGGGTCACAGTACTAGATGTGCTTGCAGGTTTAATTAAGCTAGATTCGAGACTTTCAAAAACAATTTTGAATGATAATTTTAATGGATGGTAGGACCATATTAATCCTATAGTCAAAAATGAAAGCATCCTACTAATAAATGGAGAAATCTCTATCTTTCTGTCCTTTTCTTGACAACTGCTCATCAGATCAACTTCATCTTGGTGGGTGTAGTGGCGGGGAACTAAGGAAGTGCAGTGTCAACTGTGAAGTTTTTCTTTGGATGGACCCTTGTGTAAATTAGGGAATGTAGACATTATAATTTCACTAAAGCTGGAACAATTAGTCGATCAACAAAAAAATTGACAACTAAATTGATTATTGATTGTTTCAGTATTTAACAGTAATTTTTCAAGCAAAAATTTGAAAATTTCACCTTTTGCAATTTCTCAAATGTGAGGATTTGATCATTTTCTTTGTCATATATGATATTAAACTGGATATCTTTGGGATATGGGCTGTTTTTTTGCGGATTAAATTCGCAATTTGAAGACGTCAATTTGGGCTCTGGGATATTATGATAATTTTTCACAAATATATACGCAAAACAATTGTAATAGTTTTTTTATAATTGATACAAGTTAGTTCGGGCCCTTATTTTCAAACAACATGTAACATTGAACTATTGAATAACTATTTCGCCAACAGCTATCACTGTAAAATATCCATTGGCTGAGGTTAATATTAGCCTACTTGTACCGCAGCACTACGGAGGAGGACTTATGCTCGGTTCATCACGATATTTAGCATACTCTTTACATTTACATTTATATATCAAAAAGCCCTGTGTTGTAACTGTCACAACAACAAACTGTTTAATGGTCAAAAACAAAATTAACTCCTGTACCAAGCAGCCTCTCGCTAGCATGCTGCTAGCTAGCTAACCGTACTCACAGTGTGCTTTGGACTCCGTTTGTGTTCGCTTGGCTGAGAACCTGCGTTAACGCCTTCGGCCGTAACATAGCTAACTACTTACTTTAGTGTGATACTGCAAAAAAAAAAAAGCTTAATATATTTTAAGTCACTTAACATCTAGCTTTAAACTGTCTCAAAACTACTGAACAACACACGTCAAGTCAGCTGATCCTGATGTTTTCTTCCCTTTCCGGAAGCCTTGGCAAAGCATCGTGGGAATTGTAGGCATCAAATTTATCCCGAAATCTTTGGTGAAAGGAAAACGTTTTTATTGTGATTTATTTTGATACTTAATACGTTTAGCTAAATGTCCCTAATATATATGCCCAGGACAAATACTGCGCTACAGCTGTGACACTTAATACTCAAAAATTAATCATTTTGATGCTTGTGAGACTTTTCGTCCAATAGTATTATTTGTAGTCCACTGCATTTGTCTTTAGAGCTGTAAGATGTTTAAATAGTATAAACATAGTATAAAAGTATAAAGTATTTAGAATAGACAAGAAATTTTGCAAATAATTTATTTGGTTGAAAAAAAGTCCATATGCAGACATACAACCATATATTTCACAGGTAATTTTGTAATATATTGCAGATCCCAAAAGTTATATTTAGGCCCTACACTGCTTGTATGGAAATACATAACCATGTTATATGGCTTGTTTTCATTTGTCATCAGTAATAATCATAATCAGATGGAAATTCTTTTTCATTCTGGCTGAATAGTCAGAAAAGACAGAGAAAGTCCAAGAAACACCTGTATATACAATATTGCAATAATGTATTTTGGCAATGCTGCCAGCAATGGTGTAATATAATCATAGATATTAAAGGGATACATGCCCTGGTATCGCAACAGATTCTTCTCCTCTACAGTTTATATTGTCATATGGGACAACCAAATTCTAGACACATCATAGCCTTGGTCCTATAACCTGAAAACATTTAGGCAGCAGATACAACCATATAAATTAGATAAAGTATTTAGAATGGTGGAAAGAAGCTGTCGAGATGAAAAAAACAACTTAGAAGAAGTGTTAACTTCATGAATACCTTCCAACCAGGCAAGATTAAGGCTCAAGGGTGGAAAAATAACATGTTAGAAACAAATTGGTTGTCCAGACAGAAAACACAACGAAACCAACCTTCTGCAACCACATCCTGATGAAGACCCTTTAACATAACCACCTAAATACAATATTTTAGAATTAAATAATGTTAAAACACGTATTAAATGTTAATTTCTTAATAACCTCATGCAGAAGTCAAGTGAAGAAGCGTGCCAGAAATCATCTCCGGCTGCACTGGCAGGAGAAACACAGTGGCAATAATAGTCATGGTGTCATTCAACAGTAGCAGTGCTGCCACAGCATTTAGCACAAGACTAATTGTGTTAGAAACTCAAACTGGCAACACTCTTCCCCCAACCTCCATTTTCATCCATTATTTACAGAACAGATGAGGAGATTACAAGTGATTGGAATACTCCTAAATCTGTCTGGGGGTCAGGTTAGACTCAAATGTAACAGAGGACTGTATTCATTCAATTATTAATTTTATTTTTTAAATCTCTCAGTTCCTAACTCTACTATTCTTTCACCCTAAAACTCAAAAATGGACTGAGTGAGTTAGGCCAGTAGTCTCTCGATGGCTGCGTTGACATCCCCTCCTGTAGCGATGAGTGCCTGCAGATTGGCCTCGCGGTTGATGAAGCCCATGGCGTTGAGCTGGTCGAGCTGCTGCTGGAAACGAACCTCCGGGCTCTGAAGCTGTGAGGGAAGAGACAAAGACGCTGCTCATTTACAGGGATGGACCTTTGGACCTTTGAGATTGTGACTACGGCTTACGCCAGCTGATACTAACACAATTGTTTTTTCAAATATGATCAAAGTGACATCACCCACACTAGGTTTTTAACTCTGCTTAACTGCTATTTACTCATCCTCTCACACGATGTCACATTTTAAGCATTAAGATTTTTTGCCTTTAAAAACTACAGAAGAGCCAATCAATTATGAATAACTGACATTTTTACTGAAATTTGAAGTGCTTTCATCATTTAAACCTTCTGACACTTTATCTGCCTTCATCTGACTACACTTCAAACAAAAGATAAAATAATAATTGAGGGACAAAAAAAATCTGTTCTTGTAACTTCCACTGTTCATTCACAATTTGCTCCATCTGCAGTGCTTACACTTCCACTGAGAATTTTTTTCAGGTTTTACACTTGAATTCTTTTATTCCAGGGCTTGACCTTCAGCTGATGCTTCATCTTAACGCAGCACGTAGTCTTGAGGTGACACTTCAACTTCACTATTTCTTTTTCCTCAGCACTTGCATTTTAACTGGCATTTCAACTGAGTAACTGCATTTTCACTGCCTTTCTGAGTTGAACTTCAATTAGTTCAACTATATCATCAACTTAATATTATGAAACTACATTTATATACAGTGGGGTCCATAAGTCTGAGACCTCAATGGGAAAGTGGTTTCAGACCCCACTGTATAATACCAAATTTATAGATATCATTATCTATTTCTCTTACTCAAAAACATTTTATCCAACAAGTTGTTAAGAGGTTAAGAAAAAAGAATTGACAGAACTACAACACACTGTATATTTAGTTAATAAAAAGAGCTATCTATTGAAAAAAAAAACAAAAAAAACTGCTGCTCTGATTTTGACAAAAACAAAACAGGACGAATCTGCACCCAGATGAAACATACCGATGGCCCCCCGCCTGCAAACATCTGTAACATCTGCTGCATGAGCTGTTGCTGTGAGGGACTGGATCCTGATGCCGTGGCAGAAGAGGGAGGGTTCTCTGGAAGGACTCTGCCCCCTGTGGCTGGAGGAACTGTGAGACCTTGTGGAGACAAACTAGAGGGGAAGGATTTATTTAAAATTAAAGACAACTGTGGCGACTCACAGGATTCCTGCAAATTTTAGCTAAATACATTATGACTTGAAATGGCTGATAATTTAGTACATCTTCCACTGCCAGTACCTGCCAACTATCAAACAGAAATGTTACAGTGTTACCGCTGGCTTTACCATTTCTTTAAATAAATTAACCTTGTAAGAATTTCATTTTCTGATGTAGTCTGGTAAGAGTGGCAGATTCTTTACACATATATCTTAAAAAAAAAAATACAACATTTTAATGACTTAGTCCAAGCTCTTGTGTTCTTTTTCTTTTCATGATTTAAATAGCTGAAGGAATTCTGATTAATTCCCAAGTTGACCGCCAGACAATTAAGACAATTATGTAGATTTAAAGTATTCGACTCAGAGGTATAGCTGGTACCTGGACATGAAACCCGGGACTTCTGCCTGCAGTGTCTGCAGGCCCTGTTGGATCTGTATGAGGGCCTGCATGGCTCTGGGGTTGGTCAGCATAGAAAGCGTTTGGGGATTCTGCATCTGCTCAATGACAGACATGACATAACTCACATTTTTCCATCTTGTGCACACAAGATAATAACTTGGATCTCTGTATATCACATGAAAGTCCTGCTCTGACCTGTCTCATTAGCTCAGGGTTGTTGAACATGCGTGAGACGTCAGGATTTTGTTCCATGAGCTGCTGCATCTGAGGATTGCCCGCAAACATCCGTCTCATCAGGTCTGGGTTAGACATCATGTTCTGGACCAGCGGGTTCCCCATGACCTGCGACAGCATCTGTGGGTCGGACATCAGCTGTCTCTGCACCTGCTGCTGCAGCTCCATGAAGTTGGATGAACCCATGCCGAGACCTAACAAGCCAGACAGGTCACCCAGTCCACCTGAGGAGGACGAATACAGCTGGAGATTAGTTCCTGGCAGGTGTGCGGGCATGTTGATGGGGAACTGCCACATGATTGCTTTTTAATATTTTGCAATGGGAATTATTTGCAATGGTCCACCTAAATATTTTGCATTTGCTGTCACTCAAACTGCTTTTTACATTTCTACATTTATTGTGCATTCTTTCCAAATGTCTGTGTGGAAATGCAGTTTCTGAAAGCTGAAGTTGTTGGGGCTTCCTACCAGCATATCAACAACCATCATTCCAAATCTTAGGCTTGATGTCAAACATGCTTTGTGCACAGTTTATACATAGTGATTTTTTTTTTAATGTAGGCTCATAAAGCGTCTGATGTTTTCAACATGTTTTATGCAACATCCCTCCACAACATATTCCCTCAGCGACAAGAACGACTTCCATTCAAACCATCAACATTTATTTACAGTAAAAAAGTAGGTTAGACTGGGAGAAAAAAATCTGGATTCAGATGTTATCTTTTCACAGTGTGAATTTGTCTTAAGTCCTACTTGGCGTAATCTTGCCATGAACCTAAAATTAACCTAAACCCAAGTCAAACATTGTGTAAGTATTTGGAATTGGTGACTTATGTCATATTCCTCTTACTTTGCTACCAGCTGCTAGTTTAATTACTCTTGCATAACCTATTCGACAAGAACTGCAAATATTAAACTCTCTGGAGTGCAGCAGTAATTTAAAAAATGTAGACATTCTTACCCCTTGCATTAGCAGGTTGTGTTGGTGTGTGACCTGTACCACCTCTTGTGCTTTCTGCTTCCGTTGGGTTGGTGCTGCTGGTGCTTTGTTGAGGTGGTGCAGAACTGGGACTTGTCTGAGATGCACTGCCACCTGTTGTTCTGAAGGGAGAAAGCAACCATCAAATAATACTCTTTCCAGGCACAAGCTTAATGTCTTGTCATACGCACATCTCATGAATTGTACTTACTTTGGGGCAGTCTTGATAACAAGATGAACGGTGTGTCCATCTTTGATACCATGCTGCTTTAAAGTATCACTATCCTTTAGAATCTTTCCAGTAAATATCAACACCAGCTGGTCCTGCTTGGCCTCGAATCTTTTGGATACCTCCTGTCTAAACTGGAAATACAAAACAAGAACAGAGTAAAGTGAACATCAGTCCAGATGTTCCAAAAATAAGAGAATCTGGTCCACTATATATCATCACATTAAACGGATCCTGTATTATTATGCAATCTAATGGACCTCTTTTCAACATGGGAGCTGTGTCAAAATCTAGTCTGACAATCCGAAAATCAAATTTGTATTCCCTCAAATTACCACAAGGTGATAAATTTTTAAAAAACAAAACCAACATAGTGTATTCCAGTGTAGGAGTATTGGTTGGTTTTTTCTTAATCTTTGTGCACTGTATAAGTAATGAAATTGCCATCTATAGTGTCCCCTTGATTAAGAGACAACTGAGGCAAGCAGCAAACTTTTGCTCCAGGGACCCAAAACAGGTTAATCCGGCCACACATCTACATGAGGGCTTGGTCACAGTTAAAACATTAGATAGTGTAAATATGTCGGTAAATTGTTTCACAGATAAGTATCAAAGAATGGGTGATCATTATCAGCACTTTGGCTTGATCAGTATTGTTGGTCAACAGCGCCCCACCTAAAGAGCTGGGAAACGGTCTGACTACACCCAGTATCTATCGCTGATAGATATAGCTTCTATCAGCGACCTGTCACCTGTTCTGACCGGTGGACAGATAGTGTACGATAAGTCTATATCGCTTTTGAGCAAACACACAGACACACACACACACACACACAGTTTCAACGTTACAATGTTGTAACTGTTGGTTAATATCAGAGTAACATTGAACTGTCCACACGTCACGTTAGGCTACGTCTTGGTCAGAGGAGGAATGGGTCGCAGTTTAATCCCAGACAACCATTTTAATATTGCGTAAACACCAGCGAGACTTTAAAAATACACAAACGAGGCTAGATTAGACCAGACTGACTTAACCAGTGATACAGACCTAAAAAGAATGGACGACTTAACGCGATTGTAACTTTATAACGCAAAGTTAAACTGTCAACAAACTGTTGGGTGCTAACTCAGGTAAAGCTAGCAAACTTGACTTCCGCTAACAGATGCCGAAAAGGGTTCAGTTAACGCACCTGGGCGACAGAGGAATCCTCCGAAATCGCAAATTCCTCTTTTCCTTGGGGGGTTTTCACAGTGACCACTATCATAGACCCTCCGGGAGCAACATTTTTATTTCCGTTAGCATCCTCCTTATGGTCCTTGCTGTTACTCTCCGCCATTTTTACTACTCCCCTTCCTCCTTGTTAATACCGGTAGAATTAACGTTGGGTCGACGTGTTGCTGCCCTCCATCGACCGTCAGTTGAACAGCAGCTTCAAAATTTGGGGTAAAGTCCACAATAATAGAGAAAATGAATTACTCTTTTTATTATATTATTATTTTGAAATTGTCTATACCACTGGTAGATACCACTATACCACTTTATATATTATATAAATTATTCTTTTTACTTCTATCCGTTGTTTTTAATCCCAGTACCAAGCTGCCTTTATGTTATGAAAGGTGCTATAAAGCTTAATAAAGTTGTTATTATTATTATTATTATTATTTTTATTATTATTATTAGCTATTTTTATTATATGCAAGGGTGAAGTGCTGTTTATTTAAGTACTAGAGTCCACCTTTGATGCACAAGGCCAATTGTTTACCACTTCTAATACTACCTACCTATCAATGTTGGGGTCTAACAAAGCCATATGCAACATAAATGGTTTAATTACTGGCTCACAGTCTGCCATTTAATAGTCACTGATAACAAGATATTGAGACAATATGGACATAACCTTCTATTATACCTGTAATTTGTTCTTTTTGTAAATAAATGAGTACAAAATGATGACTTGATGAACTATTCATAAAGTCAGCCTAACATTTGTTGTGTGTTAAGGAATTTCTCTCAAACATAGTAGATATGTGTGGCTGTGTGAGCATCAGGTAATATGACAATGATAGGCCTTAATAAGTACCAAAAGTTTAAGCACTCATTATACAGAATTGCCCATTCGAGAATAAATATATGTTATGGGCCTACTTTATGTAATGCTGGGTAGCTTAACTTATAATAATACATCATCATTTTGTTGTTGATATATAATATACATTATATTTTGTATTATTAATTAGAGGCTACTAAGTAACAAGTCACTAAATTTATCAAATTAATATAATGGAGCAAACAGTACAATATTTGCCTCTGAAATGTATAAATGGCATAAAATACTAAACCCCAAATTACCCCAAATTGTACTTATATACTTTCTTGTTTTACAACACTACATGTTTTGCTCCCTCTGCTTTCATGGCACTGCTAAGTCATCCTAGCTGTATTTGAGATAATTCCTGTTAGAAATCAAATCTAATCTGACCCAATTCTTTCTCCAGTAAAGGGACCCACCCTCTCAAACACTCTGCAAACAAACACACCAATCTGTACAAAGTTGTCTGATTGTTCTACATCAATCCACGCCTAGAAACTTTCAGATAACTAAGCAATATAAGATATGGATTTTTTGCTGTGCTGTCGACTTTCTGACCATTGCAGCGGTGTGCTGTGAAATCCTCCTGGCTCTAAGGTATGGTAGAAAATTGTTAATTAAAACCATCCAGGTGTATGGTTGCCTTGGATATTTAATTAGTATTTATCAATGCTTGTCTTTTATTTGAAATGAGTGATTTTGATATGATACCTGCATAACGTTTCTTTTACACATCCTTGGCTAGATTTCTCATATTTCTGCAAGAATGAAGGCTGGTCACAGGTGTCTGCTTTTCCACCATATTTTGCTGTCTGTCATGTAAGTATGATATGAACTTTTTGCAAGTAAGATATGAGGATAGATTGTTTTAGGCTGCAGTTTGGTGGCACTGTAGTAATTATAACATCCAAACTCTTCTTCTAAATCATCAGCTTTTTGTGTCATGGCAAAGACGTTTTCTTCAATGACAACGGAAACCTTGTACTCCCTGGGTCCTACAATATTCCATGGATGGCGGGCATTCAGGATTTCCGCACCCTATCTCTCGTCACCATCCCTGGCACCCATGACAGCATGGCCCGCTACGGAGGCCCAGAGGTCGAATGCCAGGCTTTGTCCCTGAGGGATCAGCTGAGGGTTGGCATTCGTTTTCTGGATCTCAAAGTGTTGGGACTGTCTGACACCCTCTATGTTATGCATGGGGTGACCTACCAGCGTAGCACTCTAAGGGAGGTCTTAGACACAGTTAAAGCCTTCCTGTCAGAGTTCAAGACTGAAGCTGTGCTCATTAGAGTGCAGCCACAGTCTTTTGAGAAGAACACAGTAAATCAAATGGTGCAAAATCTGATTGGCAATGACCAACATGTGTGGGTGGCCTCTGGGATGCCAAATATGGGTCAAGTCAGGGGGAAAATAGTCTTTTTGCAGAAGAGCACCTTCACACTAGGAATTCCCCTCATAGATACGGAAGGTAAGACCAACAAGGTTAGCAATGTTAAAGATAAAGACAACAGAATAATCAAACAGCTGGAACAAGCCACTGAAGCCTGTGGAGGGGATAATGCTATGTTGACTTACACTAGCGGCACTGGCTTTGGTACTTTCTGGGGAATGTTTCTGACTCCAAAAAGAGTGGCTGAGAAAGTCAACCCATGGCTCAATGGATACCTTAGACAGTTTTACCCCAATCAGCCCAGACCATGCTTTGGTGTCATCGCCATGGACTTTCCTGGCATTGACCTTATCCAAACTGTTATCAATTTAAACTGGTGGTAGAGGTGAGGTTGATACATTACTATGAAATCCGTTCTGTATCTTTCCTTTCACCCCATACACACTTGTATTAAGCAGAAATGTATTGTAATCCAAAACTGATATTCTACTTTGTCATTTTAAATTCCGTCTCAAACTGTGTGATTTTGGAAGCAGTATACCACTGACATTTTCTGACCATAATCATGACAGAAATAAATTCTATTTCATTGCCTCCTCATTGATCTGAAATCTTTGTTGCTCAGTGATTTTGCAGCTCTGTTACTTTGCATGTCATTTCATGCTGCCTGAATTTGCTCTTTGTAAATAGCCCTGGAATAAGTCTTAGGGTTAGTAAGTAAAAGAAGCAATGAAAAAATGTTAAAATCCTCCACTGCAAGTAAAAGTACAACATTCAAACCAAACTTTACTCAAGTAAAAGCACAAAGGTGTTCTCAACAAGTAAAATAACTTTTTATGCAGCTGAGTTGCTGCTGTCAGCGTTATTATATACCTCATTACATTTTTGTATTATTATTATTATTGTTGCAAATACAAAGAGCATTTTAATGTAGCTATAGTTGAGGTTTATTTGAATTACTTTACATACTGTTAGATATAATCTACAAAAATTGATTAATGATCACATTATACGTTTTGTACATAAAGTTATAATTTTAAAGTAACTAGTAACTATAGTTGTAGTAAAAAGTACAATATTTCTCTCTGAAATGTATTGAGGTCATAGTATGTAATAGTATAAAATGTAAATACTCAAGTAAAGTACAAGTATCCCAAAACTGTAAGTACAGTACTTGAATGAATGTAATTAGTTACTTGTCATCACTGTGTAAATATAATAAAAACATATTCTCTCATATCGTAATACTTTTTTTTAAATATTACAGCAGGTGACTTTAGAGTAGAAAGGTGGTTCAGGAATGTTCTTAATGTTTTGATCGATTACATAAAAAGTTGTTATGCTGTTAATCTGCTAGCGCTGTAGGTCTTTCAGCCATAGAGAAACAATAAGTCACGGTAAGCCTCACTGCGCATGCACATAAAAACTTATATTGATAATATAAATATATATACATATATATACATATATATATAAATTCACACACAGTTTAAACTGAAGCTCAACAACTGTACCATTTATTTCAGGGCTATTGTATTGAGTTACACTGGATTGTCAGTGTTTCTTCCCCTTCTGTCCTCTGCAGTGCAGGACATCTGTATGTATTTATACCACTGCTGGAAGTTTGGTAACCCTGTCTTATATTTGTGATTCACTGAGAGTTTCCCAAATGTGACAGCATTTCCTGAGTGTCCAGATGTTTGTGTGTAAGCTTTATTGTGCACATGTTTGTGTTTTTCTCCTCCGATCTTTGATGATCCAGATCTCTAAAAACTAGCCACTATCCAAGAAAAGCTGTATTCTAGCTCTCATGAGTCTGAGTCCTGTGAATTAGCTTAAAAGTCTAACACAAACTGGCATAAAAGTTTGTGGCACAAAGTTCTGTTCAGTTATGATGCATTTAGGTGCCTTTGTGTTTGTCATATAATAGTGCTGCCTTCAATGTGTCTGTGTAAATACAATTTGAAACAATTTGAAGACAATTTCCAAATAATCTAATAACATAAACTTGTCTGTCAACAATCAGTTATTGTGTATGTATCCTGCTGGCATTAATGACTAGATGAAGATATACCTACAATATGTTTGAGCTAATTTAGTAACAATGTCACTTAAATATAGTTTGTTATACTTTGTCCACAGTCTGAAAATGAGAGATATTTTCAGATACTCCTAGTATCATAAAGATTTGTTCTGCTTTTATGTTCCTATTAAGTACATTTGTTTTTGGACTAATGTCGAATGTATCTAACAGTGTTTGGCATTAAGAGAACATGGATATCTCAGGCAGTTAGAGTTTACACCTGATTCCTCTTCCCCAGCGTTCTTTGGGGAAGGTCTTTTGAAAGGCATTGTAAAAGTAAGAAGTTTTATTGTTCATGACAAGTTCATCTGTTGCAAATGTAACTGCATGTTACTGTTTTAGCCCCAAAAAACTATCAAACTGGCAGTGTGGGGAAGGCCTGGACACTGCATTTAGGGTTATCATGTGGTGAGATAGAATTTACTGAAAATATTATTCAACAGTAAATGAACATGAATAAAAAAATCAGAACACTAGTTCTAATTTTCAGTAGGGAGCTAGTGAAATTTTTTCTTTGGCCGATGGGATTATACTGGAGGAATGTGCCACCTTTCTTGTGGTTGTACAACATATAATTACTGAGGATTGTTCACATTTATTTGTGTTTAGCTGAATGATCAGCACAGGGTTAAGGTTTTTTCATTACTTCCAGATCCGGGGAGGTCCTTCTGGTAACAGGCTGGCACCAGCTCCTCTGCTTCTCTCCTAAATACTAACTGCGCAACAGAAGGAAAGGCAGGTTCTCAGGCAGAGCGGGACGGTGTTGCTCTCTCCGCTAACACACAGAAACAAGTAAGTCTTGTAGTTATGTCTGTTTTTATCGTAATTAGACAGAATTAAGGCATGGCCTATATTGCTACGTAGGTGCTCATCCATTTTGTTAACAACTTCCTTGAGTAACGTTACACAACGTGAAGGCTCCTAGGTGTTTGATATACACTGTTGTTAATGTATTCGACTATTTATCTGATTATTTATCTGATTCCGGTTAATACGACCAGAGCTGTCGTTTAGGCAGGGCCTCAGTATTTGTTGACAGAAATGGGACTGAAACTTCCTGGAAATTAAGCTGTGGCTGAAAGTTCAATGTTAGATATTATTTCATAATTACACTGCGAATAAACACGTGACTCACATGCCGCTTGCAGTCAAGTTGTACCTTTTTACTCACCTATCTTAAAGTAATGCAGTTTAAAATACAACAGTCATGCAATTATCCTATAGCTCCATGAAGGTTATGATGTTCAGTTTTGTTAATTCATTTGTGGGGTCATTTTGGAGGCTGTAGGTCGTTCTTGAATTGTATGGTGACTGTTTTTTCACCCCATTTATATCAGTGAAGCAGAGAAACACCTCTTTGTGGAATGCTGTAATCTCCATCCTTCAAAATGATCACATAGGTTAATCAGCACCAGTTGGACAGTGAGCTCACTAGCAAATCACTTCCAGCTCCTTTACTAAAATCCGCCATCTCACACAGCTGTGGACATGTAGCAACAAAGTGGAGAAGTTAATTGTCTCTGTGAAATGGTGGATCAGCAGGAATAGGAGAGAAACCAGCACGCATACTTAAACGTTAAAGGTCCCATATTTTATACTTGTAAACTACCTGTGTTTGATTTAGTTATTTTTTGATATCCATAAGAAGATATATTTGTGGTTTTAAGAATAAAAAACCATCTCACATTGTATATTATGGGATCTTTAAGATTCAGCAACTGTTTTGTCCATAGTTAAAGAATCAGCAACAGCAACATTAATCAGAGTCAGGAACTTAAAGTTTATGTAGCGTCTTGTCTCTTTCAGTCTCGGCAGGATGTCTGTCTCCGTGACCAGAGCTGATGGGGTCACTGTGTTCACTTTGACCTCTAACCCCCAAAGTCCTTGCCCTCCACTGTGCCAAATCCTCAAGGCCCTTTGCTACAACCCTGTGTGCTGCACTGTGTCTCAGCACCTTAGGAGGGTCCAGAGAATGTCTCAGTCAGTACTAGGGGTGAGTTATAACCTTGTATGTTTTATGTTCTCTGTGAAATAAAGCTTTAAATCTTTTCTATGCTACACAACAATTTTTATTTAGCACCTTTTCTTTCCCCACGCACTTCTGTTTGAACTATGAGTAAAAAAATGTTCTGGCAGTTTAATACACCTAAACACACATTGTTGATCTGTTGACCAAGTTGTATTGCTCTCTGCTAAAAGCTGCACATTGTTGTCCTAATCACATTACAGTTATATTATAGAGTTTTTCCATTACACTGTCACGGCTCAGAACCTGCCTTTCTGCTTTGGTATCAATAGTTGTACTGTAGAGGTGTTTGATGTTCATACTGTGCTTCTCCCTCCACAGGCTCTGCACATTATGGTTGGGTTGCTCAACATTGGCCTCGGAGCGATTCTCTGCTGCACTCGTGGCGGCTCTTGGTGGCAAATGGACGAAACCTTGTTTCCTTTTTGGATGGGAGCATTGGTAAGCATGATGATGCTGGATTTTTCTTTTGTGTCATAACTAAAATCCCACAGGAATTCCCTCCAAAATGTATTATATTATTATTATTATTATTATTATTATTATTATATTAAATCACTAACAGACTGACACTTTGTTAATTAATAAATGCTTGTTGCTTTTTATTTTATAGTAAGGGTTACCTAGTTGTACTTGGTGCTCAAAATAACATGTATGAATTTTCATTTTGTGTTTGTGTTGAAGAGTGGAATTCAAAGATTTTGTTTTTTTTGTCTTCTCTGTAGTTTATGTTATTTGGCATCATGTGCATTTTGTCTGAGAAGTACCCCAGTCCATGTGTGGTGAGTAGTTAAACTTTATAACATCCTCATGTTATCTTAAAATGACTTCCTTCATTTTATTGTTATCTTGTTTTTCTACTAGTTTTTACTTCAACACAAACAACATGAGATTATTTTGAACTTGCTACATGTAAAGGCAGATATCACTCAAGAATATACACACCCACATTCTTTCACATGATGACAGTATATATTTTCAACAGATGGCTTTTGTTGTTGGACAGTTTTGAACTTCCCTGAATGTACTGTCAGCTGTTTATTGCCTGGTGTGGTTTTGTATTTGGTTCCATTCTAATTTTGCACATAAACTGACAAGTCTTGTATTTTAGGTCATCGTCAATGTGATTCTGAATCTGGCAGCAGTTGCTTTTGCCATTGCAGCCATCATACTCTACAGCATTAATCTGGCAAACATATGGCTGTGGTGGATGTGTGACCATGAGGATTATAACTACAGTTTCAGACAACAGGTGACACTATCTCCTGAGGAGGCTGGCATGCAGGAAAAATGCATGGAGGCCCGGGCACTGAGTCTGGTAAGTGTGTAAAAGCTCATTTCAGCAGTAGATAAATAACGCATTTCTTTATTTAACAGGTTTTGACTTGAAGGTTACCATCTCCAGACTTTTAATGTATAATTAAAGACAATTTTGATCCTCAATTGTTTAACTGGTTTCTCAAGAAAAAATGATCTTGTCTGAGATCCTCAAGTATAAAATCATCAATAGAACATTTTTATGCTGGTGCGCTGGCGTATCCTGAGGCACTATTCTTTCAACTTGTCCGTCCATCCATATGTACGTTTGTCCGTCTCATTCTTGTAAACACAATACCTTAGTAACACCTTGAGTGAATTTGATCAAATTTGATACAAACATTCACTTTGACTCAAGGATGAACTGATTATATTTTGGAGGTCAAATGTCAAAGGTCACTGTGACTGCACAAAACAGGTTTTTGACAAGTTCCATTTTGTCAAAAAAATATGCTTTACACTACATTTTATAGATTGAATGACTTCATGTATAAACTGTAAATGGTTAAATAAATGAAACGGTCAAGTTTAAAAGCATAAAGCAAGAAAAAAATCTATTTAATTAAATGTAATTAAAACAATTCAATGTTCAAAGCTGTTAAAGGTAACGCTGTTTTGTTTGTGTCCCACCAGATGCTCTTAAGAAGCATCAATGCTGTGCTGATTGTCTTGTCAGCCCTGGAGCTCTGTGTCGCCATCAGCTCAGCCACCATGGGGATCAAGGCTCTGAGGAGCAAGGAGAAGACAGAAAACGAGGTAGAGTACACAAAGCCGTATCTTATTGGACCTGTTGTTCAGCCAGGACAGGTTTGACTGAACGTTTTCTTTTAATTGCACGTTTGAGTCTTAATGTGTGGACAGGGCTTTAAGGTTATGAACCTCTGGTCGTAGTGTCAGTCAGTGCAGTATTTTCACCTCAGCTGCCATTTACAGTGCAAATCAATTAGAGAAATAGTTTGACATTTTGGGGAAAAAAATGCTGGTAGGTGTATTTTTTAAATTTATTTATTTGTCCCTGTTTCAAGGCTTTATGCTAAGCTAATCACCTGCTGTCCTCTAGCTTCATCTTAGTGCAGTACTCATATCCCTGATGTTGGTGTCACCCTGGTTCCCTTGGCAAAAAGCCAAATGGATTTTTACATGGGCTTATGGTTTACTGCAGAAAATAAGCTCTGTGACAAACAACTGCTTATGATACTTGCACGTTTTGCTCAGCATGATAATCTTAAATCATGAAGGAAGTAAAAAGCTAATGTTGGGCTATAAGCGAACTACATCACGGTCACATGACTTCAACGTCACCACCACTAAATTTCAGCTCGCGGTTTGATTTAGCTCTTGCCTCTTCTACAAAAGCCTTCCTCCTTACAAAGTTAACAATAGTTTGCAAAAGTTTGAGTATAAACACAAAGAGGCTGTCAAAGGTGGATTGGTGAGTAGATCGGTTTTCGTGTTCGGAGTGACGAAGCTAAATTCTGGGTTTTAGGACCTAATTCCTGCAGCACTGTATTCTCATCCGCCTCTCTGCAAGAAAGTGAATTAGTTCATTTCACAACACGTCAAACTATTGATTTAAGGATTTGTGGGTACAATCCTAATAAATCAGTCAGTATGGACATAAATACACATTTAAAACAATAAAATAATTATTTTCCCTGTGCATTCCCGCTCGAAACTGTTCATGAGTGTATGTGATTATGTGCTATTCTTTATGGTTTGAGTATGTCGGCACCTTTATATGCTTCACTGATATTGTTTTTCTCTTTCAGAGCACTGCTGATCCAGAGCTCTACAAACCACTACTGGAGGAAGTCACCACCAAGTAAACCACACAGCCTGAGGGAAAATCTCTGCTTAGCACTATCAGGTACCAGGAACTGTAATCCGTAGCAAAATGCCATTGACTGTATGTACGTCAATGATGAACACTAATTCAGCTGGTACCATCTTTGCCAAACTTCTTAAAAATATTTGCACTTGTACTTCAGAGTAGATGTTGTTAATAATCTGCACTTTGAACGCTGCTTTCCATTTCATTCTCTTTTTTTAAACTGTTCCCGTTGATCACGATCTTTTGAGTAATGTGCCTTATATTCAATGTGTTTGTTGTTGGAGGTTCAAGCATGTGTGTGTAGCGCTGATAGACATACGGTTATTTTACAGTGTTAAACCGTGTTGAAAAATAAAGGCATCAGAACTATTGACAGTGACGTGTTAAATTGCTGTGTGTATTTCTGCTATGTACGTCACACGAAACCGTAAAGTGTGACTGAGAACCATCAGTGCTCGTTATGTACAAATAAGAACAATAACTATCGAGAGAAGCAGAAGTGTGAGTTCAAAATTTCATATTCCTCTTTTTCCAAATACAATTTCTGACCATGTTACAGTTTAATAAAATGAGTTTCTCAGTAGTTTCGACCCGGGTGATGAACCCATTCTTAATTTTAGTATAGTTTTGAAGTTCTTGTGCTTATTAAGTATTTCTTTTGTATCCTTTTTTACATTCTACTTCAGCCAAGATGGAAAAGATTCCCCCTTATTTAGGTATTTAGTCTGGAATTGAGTCCTTAACATTTTTTGAATAAAAGGTGAGAAAAGGTTTCTAGTCAGAATATTTGAACCTGTTTTCATTGCAAACAATGTACCAATACTTCTAAAGTCAACTTTTTCATCATTGTAGTGCAGCAGCCTGCTTTACTCTTTTTTCTTTTTTTAACTAGTTGATTCAAATTAAAATGGATTAAGGGATTCTTAACTACACAAAGATAAAATTTACCAAAACTTTATGAGTCGTTAACTACGACAAACAATGTTATTCACACATTAAGATACGTGTTGATGATCCTGTAATGCAGGGAAAGCATAGTGCACAAACACTACTTGTGTTAGTTTTTGACTGCAGGACTTTTAGTTTAGTATTTTTATATAGTGGCATTAACAGAGATGAATCCCTGGTCTTCCTGGTCTTACCTGTATACTGTAATAGCATGGCGGTCGGGAAGAAGTTTCTTCAGCAGGAATTAAAACTGCAAACAGAAACAGACAGCAGCATATAGAGGACGTTGACCTGTCTCACTGTCCTTTGTCACATCTGCATGATTTGTTGTTAGTTTGACAGTTTCAAGTGCAAATCAGTGACTCTAAACCACTTACAGAATCAAAGTGATGTTAAATTATAACTTTACTGGACAAATACATGAACTAAGACTATGAACATTATACAATCATTTGTGCTTTCCACTGCAGTTCTTCAACTACATTTCAGAGGGAGATTTTGTGCTTTTTTACATATAAATCTTGTAACTCATTTTAGGTTTGATGCTGCTGTAACACTAAGAAAACATTTGCCTACAATTCTGAATTGTATTATTTCATGTATTATTTCAATACCTTGCTTTATGTTGGGGCTTTTATTCTGAAAGAAATGAATGGTCAAACAGGAAGCAGCATTTTCATTGCTGCAAAATGCAGAACAACCAGATCGTGGTAGTTGCAGCAACTTCTCAGAAACAGGTGAGTTCTCCACACAAATGAACACATGGACGTGAACATGAACTTTACAAGGAGACAACGTGTTGACTGAGCTCTGAACCTTGTGTTCATTTGGTGGTGTTTTATTTCTTTAGTCAATTTTACCAAAACTAAATTATATTCTTTCTATGGTCTGTGAAAGTGAGTGAATGAATAAATAACCCACCCTGCCTCCAGATATCAGTTATACTTTTTTGTGTCCTCACAAAATATTCAGCACAATAGACTGCTAAAGTTTAATGTACATCTTAAAACAATGTGACAGATACTTAAAATAAATACTGTGATGTACAGACACCTTCTCAATAACTTATTTTTCAAATATAAAACTAAAACACACTTTTACTTTGGAAGCTAAAGAATCTGCAGCATATTTTAGACTGACTAAATAAAGAACTTCAAGCAAGGAACAATAAGTATAATCTTGCTGCCTCATGGTAAAACCATGGCTGTAATACATCTGTATATTTGGCTTTGATAGAGTTGTTGATCGATACCAGTGACTCTGTTTACTTTGGCAGGTGCTGGGACTTTAAGACATTCATACACTGATCCATTCTCCTCTACAAACACCCACCCCTCACACACACACACACACACACACACACACACACACACACACACAGGTAAAATATGAGCGACTGAAGAGCTTCAATCTCAAGTGAAAAGCGTCACAATTCAAGAGGACAGACTTGGGTAGGGAGAGACGCATTCCCAACACTGACCCAGAAGTACATTCTCCGTTTTATTTGTCGTGTGTGTGTGTGTGGTGTGTGTGTGTGTAGGACTGAAGGGTGTCTGACAGTGAGAGCATGTTTCCACGTCTGTGTCGGATCCTGAAGGATCTTTGCTGCAGTCCGGAGTGCGGCTCGGTGTACCGGGAGCTGATGCAGACTAGTGTCACCACAGCTCTTGGGGTGAGAAATTTAAACAAATGTATTTATATAGAGTAGATAGTGGGTTGAAGATGTTCAGTATGAGACAATCAGATTTCATTGTTGTGAGTCTCTTATAGACGATACAGATCATGGTGGGCCTGTTCAACATTGGGCTGGGGCCAGGACGAACCAGCACACATCCTGGAGATTTGACCGGCTTGGGAGCTGCTTACTGGCTGGGTGCTGTGGTAAACTAATACTGTTGTGTTAATATTACCATGACAGCATAGTATTGTTATGCCTCATGTTTATTAGCTGTGTTATTTTACATATATATATCAGTTGCCAAGACCAGAGAGCAAAACTAGTTTGTAATAACTCTTCCTGGTAACTGCTAAGCAAATACAATAGTTTCTGCTTGACTGTCACTGATATTAAGTGTGTGTTAATCTCTCATCAGTTCATCGTTACTGGAATCTTTTCCAACTTGGCTGGACAGTTCCCTTCTTCATGTTTGGTAAGTAAAACCCTTTGAACTCCACTGACTAATTAAAGGAAATATGCAACTGAACTTTTAAGATGAGGACTCTTTCCTCTCAGGTGGGCTTCACTGTGTTCATGAACATTGCTGCAGCAATCTTTGCCATCACTGGCATTGTGCTGTACGCCATAGACCTGGGAGACGCCTCTCTCCTCTGGATGTGTGATCGCAGCACCAACAGTGATGATCATTATGGTGACAACTGCAGAAACGTGGCGCTCTTTGCCCAGGTAAGCACATCTCTGAAATTAAACTTGAAACACAATCATACAGTGAACTGAATGGCATAGCTAAAGTAGAAATCAGGTGAGATATTTTTGAATAAAATTGAATTTAAAATGTTTAAATTTCTCACCCTTCAGAGGTTATTAAGATCCATGGATATCACACTGATCACCGTCGCTCTCCTTCAGCTGTGTGTCAATATTCGCTTTGCTATTCTGGGCATCAAGGCTTTGACCAGTGAGATGAGGATGGAAGAGGTATGAAGACAGAAGACAACACACACGACTGCACAGTCAGAAAACAGCTGGGAGGTTCATTCAGAATATTCATAGTATGAGCAGCAGTAGCAATAGTTATTGGAACAGGGGTAAAAGTAGTAGCAGCTGCGTTTCTGGGGGAGTGTTTACTGTATGTAATGTTTGTAATGTTTCTAGTGAGATGTGAACACATGTAGAATTCTCTGCTTTATCCTTTTTTTCCCACTTTGTTCTGTGCCGGCAGGGTGACAGAGATGTTGAAGGAACTTCTCCTGACCAGTCCTGGTGCTTAAAACCATTTGAGCTGGACACCTGAATGCATGACTATGAATAGACAGCGAGACATTACCAATTATACTGCTCATGCTTTTTAAGACCTGTGATGTAAAAGTATACTTTTTTTTACATCATTTTCTTTCTTTTTTTCCAGTGTAAACACACCAAATGTGCGATTGGGACACAGCTAATGATTCTTAATGTTTTCATTTAATGCAATACCAAATAATCTTTCAATGAAAATTGTGAAACGTTTGTTAAGATTACACTGGCTAACATGACAATAATACACAGTTTGCTATTCTCAGATTTCCAGTTAAACTTTTCACACTGACTAATATCATAAAGTTGAAAATGTTTCTTATGCTGATTTTGTTATTTCCTAATATTGCTTTGTAAACTATTGTGCAGACTGTTGCCATTTTCAGCAAATCTGTATTACCACAAATATATATTTTAAAATATTTGATAGAGTATTGTATAAAAGATTAAAAATATGTGGAAATACAGTGTTTGATTTTCCCCATTTTACAAGATGTCTGTTTAAAATGAGCTGCAGGAAGCGGCTCATATGAGGGTGACATCAAGGCGCCTCATTTTTGATCAGATCTATTGTTTGATGTTGGGGACATTTTCCCGACACAGCATGGATGCAGGTTGGTGAGTGAGGACAGAAGAAGTGAGACGACTTCTTCTCTGTCTCTAAGTCTGATTCTCTGCAGAGTCTGTTAAACCTGTGCTCAGTTTGCTGCTGCTGTCATCCCCTCACTGTGAGCAGAAATACAAAGATGTCTGTGTTTATATTCAATGTTTCTGCGTCATGATGGAAACCTGAGATGAAAATCTGAATGTGTGTGAGTGCAAATACACATACATAAAGTTTATTTTGTCATCAGTCATCTGCCTTGCATCTGACAATCATGCTGTATATGGGCCAGATTTGGGCCATGGAAACAGGTATATACTGGGCAAGAAGAAAACAAGCACGTGGCCCGAGTATGGGCCGGAATTATTTTGCTATTTGGGACTTCTCCTGTACATTTTATATTGATATTGAAAATACAAATATTTAAAATAAAATAGATATTGTTCTCGAGGGGAGGGGGTGTCTTACCTCAGTTTACCTCATAACTGCACTTCAGTACAGTAACTACAACTAGAGGCCTGCTGTACTTAGTTACTTGGCAGCTCTGGATAAAATGAACGGAACTCAGTTTATTGTTTACTCAGCAGACACGTGACTGAACACGTGATACAGAATGTAGAATGTACAGAGTGTATTCTAGAACCGAACCACGTTCCGCTGGAACTGGATCTTTAATGCGTCATAAACGCAGAATGTGTGAACCTATGACCAGTGAGACTCAGTATGTCAGTGTGAGAGACAGAAGAAACCAGTTACACAAACCAGTTTCAATTTCTCAAATTATTAGTTGAGAGTTTTGAGTTTTGAGTTTTTCAGTGAAAAGGAAAAAAATTATGGAAATCAACCAGGAAATGACCACCGACCCAGTTCTGAGTGACCGGGAGAAGGTGGACCTGGACGCCGTCCTCCTCCAGGTCTTCATCAGCACCCTGGGGGACAAGTGGCAGATCGTCCAGGACAGGATGGTGGATCCGGTCAGCCCCTCTTCCTCTTCATTGCTTACTCATGAACACGATCACGTTTTTCTCACGTGTGGATGAACAGCTGTTTAACAAATTAATCAATTATCAGACTGATCAATAACAATAACAATGACACAACAGCTCTAAATAAGCTCCAAATAAACGAACAGTAAAATGCTGCTCACACACTAACATAGGACTAATTACACATAATGTTATATTTACATTATGTCAGAGGAAATCAACTCACTGCTCTGAGTACTGTTACTGTTACTTTTGATATTTTAACCACATTTTCCTGATGATACTTGTTGCAAAGGTGAATGTAAAACTTCTCTTTTTCTGTCTCTTCCTCTGGCAGATATCTCAGATTCACATGGCTCAGGTGTCTGGGAGGATCGTCAAGGTGGTGTCCCAGCTGGTCGCCACGGCTCTCCAGCTGTGGCCCAAAGACGACTCCAGAGCCTCAGACTCTGAGAGCAAGAAGGAGCTTCAGAGCAACAGCAGCAGGTAAGACACATCAGCTCCAACACCTCATTGCACCTTACTGAGATCTGGGCTGTGATTGGCTACTGTCAGATCTCCACTGCGTAACACCAGGGCGTCTGCAGCATTGCATCCAGTCTAAAACGATGTTAAAAAGTCCAACATTTTACACACAAAGGCATGGGCGCAGGTTTCATTTGAACATTGGGTGGGACACATTAAGAGGGGAAACATTAAGCATCAGTTAATGGTGGAAACATCTTTATCATGTAAAGGAAAAAATCAGGCATCAGGTAATTCAGGGGAGTCAAGCAGATTTGTAATATCAGCAGATAAAATTAATAGGTGTCATGGATCTAATAAATATTTGACAAAACAATGTATGTCCATTTGTAGTGAATGTAGAACAGTAGCTTTTGACTGCATCACATGATCTTCCTCAGCAGATCTGATGAGCACTTGATGAGGTTTCAGTCTTTCAGCCTCAGCTTTGATAACCCAAAAAAATGGATTGAATCCTGTGATAACTCGGCAAACATCTTTCTTTTGAGGGAGATCATGTGGTAGGATCAAAAGCCCCAGAACAGCTGCTGCATGGACTTTGTAGATGACATGTTTTTGTCAGCTGCTGCTTCCAACATGAAGAGTGAACTTTCAATCTAAATCTGTCTTTGTTTCCTTCTCTGTAGTTCATCTGCTGTGACTGCAAGGCCCGCGCATCTCCAGAAATACTTCGAACTCACCGAAGACACACTGGTCCAATCACTGGGCAGCCTCGCCTCCCAGCCGTCAGTGAGGAGCATGCTGGGAAATGTAGTGAAGCAGCTCAACCAGGGTCTGCGTGTGCTGTCTGCTGAGAGCCAGGACAGTACAGAGACTGAAGGGTCAGAGGTCAAGTCTGCTGCCATGAAGGTATTGGCATTGGCATGTGAGACTCTGACTGAAGTAACAGACAACGCAGCACATCAGGACATAGACGCCATCTTGGATACAGCGACTAGGGAGGTGATGTTCGCCGTCGCTGACAGCATGAGCAGCTGTCAGCACAAAGAAAGGAAATCTGCAAGAATCCTGCGAGACCTCGCCTCCAAAGCAACTGAGCGACGCTCAGAGTCTACAGAGTTGCAGTCCTGCCTTCATTGGCTGGGCTCTAGCGACCAGCCTGAGTCGTCTGCACAATCTGAGTCTGATGTACATATGAAGTGTTACCCGTTATGTGTGTCCTCAAAGAAGGTCAGCAGAGACCTGGCAGAGTTTCGTAGCTCCTGTCTTCAGGTACTGAAGGGTCCTCTGGCTAAGTTGTTAGCCCTGTTCTCCCCACGGAGCTTCAGCATGATGATGAGTCCACACAGACCACACCTGCCCACCTTGGAGTCTGTTGCATCTGACATTTTGGACATCATAGTCAACGGTGTTAAGGACATATGCCAGAAGAAGAAACCAAGAAAGTTAATCAACAAGAAGACAAAAGTAACGGAGGAGCGAGTGAACTCCACAGCGACTCAGGTGAAAGTTGCTCTGCAGGAAAAACTGCGAGAGTTTCTCACCTGCCACAGAGACGCTGTGGAGGAAGGAAAGAAAGACCAAATGTCCAACCAGAGAGAAAAGACAGAACGTGAGGACACCCAGCGGGAATGGATATCCGGCATCAAGATTATTAGAGGTGCTGTCAGCACTCTGCTGCATCAGGTCTACCTCTACAGCGACGAAAGGGACAAATCGACTTTGATCAAACTGGAGGATCTGATCAGGGAAGAAAAACTGTCCGGCTTCTTTGTGCTGCTGACAGATTTTCTGAGTCCTCTGTCGTCCAGTCTTGTCAGTCCAGCTGACGTGGTTCCTTTGTTCTGTGAAGAAGCTGTAAAACATCTGCTCAGGCTGTTCATTTTCCCTCCTCTCTCCTGGGGGATGGGTCTGGTACTACGGGTGCAGAGCAGCCATGAAGCCGCCGTCAGGTTCAAAGAGTCGGCCCAGCTGTACGACGACATCATCGGCAAGTATACTCAGCTGATGTGCTACCAGGTGATGAACAGGCTCGCCAAGTTGCTGGAGGAGGACAACAGTGAACCACAACAGAGGAAGAAAAGAAAGAACATTGTGCATTTCTTCCAGAAGCTTCCAAGAAAGATCCAGAACAATTGGAGGACACCGACAAACAGGATGGACACGCTCTGTGGTCCATCTGTGGACGAGGCCACTGTAGAGGATGCTGAGGATGAGGAGGGAGGAGGGGAGGCCTCTGAGCTGAGGAGGAGGATTGTCAACGTTTTCCAGGATCTTCAGGATTGTGCACACGTTCTTTGGGTATGAGCCGAGGCCATGGCAGACTCAGGCTCTATTCCCCATTTTCTTTTAAAAACTGCCTCTACTTGTCTCTGTAGTTCACTTGGGAGGAGTGGACTTCAAGAACCTGACAAACCCGAAGAACCCGAAGAACCTAAAAACACTTGGACATGAGCAATATCCACATTTTGACTGGAGAGGAGCAGCAGTGTGAAGCAAAGAAGCCATCCACTACCAACTGGAAGTGAAGAAGAGAGGAAGGAACATTGTAGAGTCATGTTAGAGTTATGTTGCTCTGACATACACTGCAACATAAATGTAAAATAACATCGTTGCCGGTATTTCTGTTATGTTAAAACTTTGTTGTAATGTTCAACTGTGCATTTGCAGAACTATAAAACAACCCTACTAATGCACTGATTTACTTGTGTTGAATAAAAAGCTTGCATGTTACAAAGCCTGTAGAAATGGACATAAAAACACATTGAATAAAAAAAAGAGAGAAAAACAAAAACACCAGTTCAGTAGTTGTAAACACAACTTCCGTTTAAAATGACACATTTAATGAAAGGAATAAGGCCATGGATGTTCTGGCCAGTTTCCCCGGAGTGTAAGGAAGATATTACATTTTCAAAATAAAAGACAGACTAATCTGCTTCAAAGGAACGAGTACGTCATAGAAAAGGTACAATATTTTTCTTTTAAGTGTATCGATATAAAGGCGGAAGTTTCTCAAAAAGTAATACTCAAGTCAAGTGGTTACAGATACTCCAAAAATCTTTTTATGTACAGTACTCAACTAAATGTTCTACGTTACTGTGCACTCCTGCAAATGATTTTATTTTATTTATTTATTTATTTTGCTTTTGTGGAAAATTAATTTAAATAGATTTTTGGAATTCACGCTTTTAATTTGAAGAAATCAAACGGGCGACAGGAAGTATCAGGTCTATTGCTGCTGTCTGAATCTGAAATCACCGTCGGCAAAATCAGACTGTCGGAGTAACTGGAGTCTGTGATAACCGGTAAGTTCTCTGCGCAAAAACACAGCGTCATTCATGATAATGTGAACTTTGATGAGACAAGCGGTTTATTAAGATCTAATATTGGTGATATCGGATAGAGAGAGAGAGAGAGAAAGAGTTATTTTACATTATTTATTGATTTATTTTATTTTAGTTAGTTATGAAAACTTTATTCCAAATTTAATGTGAAACTTTTATGACTGCACATACTTTTGTATGTCAGCTTTAGGATCAACGGTTGATGTTACAAATTTAAGGAGGTGCAGCTGCTTTAGGGAAAGTCCTCACTTCCAACAGAAAAACCTAGACGTGAATCCAAATTTGCTTAACTCCTATTTGTTTACGTAATGGTCAGGTTCATACTGGCTGTGTTGAAATCACAGATGTCAAATACCTGAGATAAATGCGGGCTGATGTAACTGTGAATGTGTCCACGATTTTAACTGTTTTCACAACCTGTAAGCTCATAGGCATTTTCCAAAGCACCAATAGGCCACATAGAGTTTGAGTGGTTGAAGCTTGAGTTTTAGTTCAGTTGTTAGTTAGAAATTTAGTCATTTATGTCTTAACTACTTATTTTTCTAAGATTTGTTTTATTTTTTTTATTTAAAATGGCATACAGTGCAGGGAGACGCAAAAAGCCCAGTGGGATATTTAAAGCCTCCACTTAAGGAATGTTTAAATATCACAAAATTATTAAAAAAAAAATACAAAATGAACATACAAGAAAATAACGTGACTACATAAAATTGATTAGAAACTAATAGATTCAAAATGTATATGTATATAATAAAATGAACAGCAATTATAACAATAATATCAAAATAAGATCAGAAAATGTGAGAATGTGATGTGTATGACTTTAGCTCCATGAGCAATAGTAATAATTCATGTCCTAATCTAATTTAACCTAATCTAATCCATAATCTAATCTATCCACTCACCTGTCCAAAAATCTCCATTTCATGTCACAGGTGTGAGAGATGTCTGTCACTGTCGTCAAAGACAAGGGAGTGACTGTGGTCACTGTGGCGTCTGACAGTGAGAGCCTGTTTCCCCCCCTGTGCCAAATCCTGAAGCATCTTTGCTACAGTCCAACGTGCTGCTCCGAGTACAAAGGGCTGATGCGGACCGATGTAACTGCAGCTCTTGGGGTGAGAAAAAATGAAAATATATTTATTCATAAGCTTTATTAAGTGATGGTGTTAAGATTTTAGGTTGATCAAGTGTAAGACGATCAGATTTCATTGTTGTGAGTCTCTTACAGACGATACAGATCATGGTGGGCCTGTTCCACATCGGACTGGAACCAGGACGAACGCCCACACATCCTGAAGATTTGACTGATATGGGAGCTGCTTACTGGCTGGGTGCTGTGGTAAATTAATAGCTAATATTACTAGACACATTTACCAAAAATGCAATGAGGATTTTTCAGCAGGGGGATGGTGACACTATAGCATATCATTGCTTTATCAGAAATAATTCATGGCAATATGATATAGTTTTATGAAAACTATGCTATGTCTTTTTTATAATTGAATTGAATTGCTTTAAATTCACTGAGCTGTCTGCCGTTCTCTCTTCAGTACATTGCAGTTGGGATCATGTCTGTTCTTGCCGGCCAGTGCCCCTCTCTGTGCTTGGTAAGTAGAGGGGGGGGGGGCTCTGCCTTATGTGACAGACATTCTGAAATATTTTTTGAACTAATATTTCAGGTGGGCTTCGCTGTGTTCTTGAACATAGTTGGATCTGTCATAGCCATTATTGGCATTGTGCTGTATGCTATAGACCTGGGAGAAGCCTCTGTCATCTGGATGTGTGATGACACATGGAATAGCCACTCTCCAGACAAGTGCAGATATGTGGCTTCCTTTGCCCAGGTAAGTTTTCCTTTAAAGGATAAAGCTGGTTTTATGCTATATTTGTTGGGAACTATGTTTAGTCGCGGATTAATACACAATTTGTGAGTATTTACGGGAGCAGGTATGTGTATGTGGAATCGACTCAAAATACTACAGTGTGTGTATTCGTGGAATGAAGAAACATGGCACCCAGTCTGTTACATATATTGTATATATATATATATATATACTTTTATATATAAATATATTAAATGTGAAAATACAATCATACAGTATACAGCAGTAGAGTCTTGACAGTGTAATTTGAATATGACATATTAACAGTGCAAAAATATAATTTATTTATACTAACTAAATAGTTAATACTTAAATTTGAAAGTGTGGTTATAGTTTAAATCCTCTTTGAATCAAGCTGAACTCTTTGTTTCTTGTTCTACTTCTCGTCTATCAGAAGTTGTTGACAGGTATGGACATTACTTTGATCGTCCTGGCTGCTCTCCAGATGTGCGTCTGCATTAGCTTTACTATTCTGGGCGTCAAGGCTTTAGTCAACAGGAAGAAGGAAGAGGTACGAACCAAGAAACACACAAAACCATAATCCAAATAAAATAAGCTGCTGGAAGACCAACATCACTGTTGTTAGAGATAGTTGTAGGTGTACAGTGGAAGTAACAGCTGGAGTCATGATTGTACAACATGAGAAATACTATTTTAAGAGATAAAGACAAAAATGAGTAAGATAGATGAACAAAAATAAATTCAGTAAAAACTATAAAATCAACTTTGTCACGTTATTACTTTATTAAAGTTGACTTTGCTCTGTGTCGGCAGGGTGGCAGAGATGTTGACATTTACCAGCCAATGCTGAAGGAAGTCCTCATGACCAGTCCTGGTGCTTAATCTAGACAGATGGATGCATGAGTATGAATATGCAACATATAATTTTTAATCCTTTTTTCAATAATAAATCATCTTGATTTGATCAAATTATTGATTTCATAAAGACACTGTTTTATGCTGAATTGGAAATGTTTTAAAATGTTTTTTTTCCTGTCATCTTGTGGATGATGTTTTAAAGTAAATGTGCTTGAATAAAGAGGTAAAAATAGTGAAAGCTGTGAGAAGACAGTGTTTTTGAGCTTTTAATTATTTTTTCAAGGATGAAATTCTATTAATAATCACCTTAATGGTAGAGACGGCCTCTCCTCAGTCATTACTTGTGTCATGTGGATGACTGGCTCTTGTTTGCAAGCAATAAAGATCTATAGAAATTTTTGTGTCAGCTGGTCTTTCAGCACCAACTCATCTGCATCATAAGAACTGATCTGATTTTCAGTTTCTACGACTGATGCCTCTTTAACCCGATCGACACATCTCTTTGAACCACTTGGTGACATGTATTTTCAAATAAAAACACCTTTCTGCTTCTATAGGATGCATCTCATTTCATTTTCATGCGCTCAGCCTGTGATGACACTGTTTGCCACTAGGTGGTGTTCATTCTCCATAATTCACACGTCCCTGTACATGACATTACCTGCTGAACTGTGTTTTTCCTTATTTTACAATGTACATTTTTTGAGAAGAAAACTGCAGTTGAACAAACATATTCACCGACATCCCCAAGCTTGTATAAATATTTGGTCTATGAATATTGATTATATAGGTTTTAATGGTCCGTGCATAAAGTATAATTCTGCAGTTGTTCACGTTATATAATGAAAAATGCCAGCTGAGGGTGTATTGCCTAATTTCATTGTCCCACTTGTGCTAAGTGAAAAATGAATGTTGACGTTTGTTAGCCGATGCTGCCTAAACGCTGTAAACGCTTTGTGTGCGTTAATGTCCCACTGAATGAAGACATGCAATTCAGTTCAGTGCACCAAAGCGTCAGTTCCATTATCCAACTCGTACCTTGAAAAATGAACACTGAACCATTTATTTTGTTCAGGAAATTCAGCAAGGAACTGATGTTAGGATGGGTGGATGGATGAACTGATGATTTCTTCTATACAACAAACAAACGTAAACAGCTTGCCATGCGTAGGGTAACTAAAGGGTAACTAAAGAGTAACTGATCAGAGAGCAGTTGATGAATGCAATGCAATTCCTGCAGTGCACATTTTTATTTCTCACTTCTGACATTTAATCAATATTTTAATTGAATACACAACTGTTGATTCTTCACAAAGTCAGTGCCCCATGTGTTGATCTATGGATTCTCTGATTTCTAGCTTAAGGACAGATAATACACTCTAACTGTCCCTGGGCGCAGGAATAACATATGTGACATTTAAGCCTTTTATTTAGTCAAAGCTGCTTTCAAATGAATGAACTGTATGTTTATGAACATTGTGATTATTATTTATTAGTAACTTAGACTTCATGCACAGCTGCTGTTGTATACTTGCAGGTTACCTTCACTTACAGCTGCAGTTTATGGATTTTTGCTGCTAGGTGTGGACTTCATGCTGGTTTACTCTGTGTAAATATTTATTTGAATAAAACAGCATGTTATGTAATCTGAGTCCAACCTGCATCCCAGGGAAGGGCTGGCGTGGGGCAAATAGGAACATTTTCAAACGCCGTTCAGGCCACCGCCAGAGCAGTAATGGCCGTCTGGCACGGGTGGCTGCTTCAGGCCTGGTTGTGGGCTGTTGGACTCGGAAACCCAGGCGGACCGCACTTCAGCCGGATCTCTGGGCCCAGACCCGGCCGAGGCTTTGCCAGAATAATTTGAATAACAGCATAAGAGAAGTAAACTGTCGAACAAACAAACGCCGAAACTTTTCGTACCTGTGACCGTTCCAGAAATCAGGTGATCAGGAAACGGGGCGTGCAGGGAAAAACCAGATGCGCACACATCTGTCTTCTTTCATGGACTGCGCACATACGGGCATTCGGCCAAAAGGCGCCAACTTTGCTTTAGATACGGGAAAAAAAAGCAGTATGGTCGTAGTGAGCCCATGCCTGGCTCAGAGAACAGTCCTTGGTCTAAACCCCCTGAAACTTCCACCAGGCTTTATATGCACCAAAAAACCGACTGACACCGGAGGAAAGTCCGACAGCTTCGGAGGCTTTGAGTTTACTTTCTCAGCAAAGTGGTTCGAGAAAATGTTCATTTCTTGATGCTTCATGTGAACAGTGCAACATTTACTGGTCTGAATGTAAAATAGGCAAACACAAACGTGTGTATATCGCAAATTGAATATGAGTAAAAGGGAAACCATGAATGTAGTTTATATTCTAAGCATACATTCATAGTAATTATTGTAAAAGTGTGGAGCTATTTTTGTGCCTCATTCCTGTGCACACAGAGGGATTTTTTGTGCACAGACAAATACATTTTGCAAACATACAAATTATATTTTGAAGAAAAAATATTTTTGAGCAAATAATACCGTAACCTGAGCAAACTAAAATCTATTCTGTGCTCAATAAATGTATTTCTCAGTGTGCTATTATCCACAATATCAATGTGTCACTCAGTTTTAGTAAATCCTACTATGAGAAGCTGCTAGGCCAAAACTGAATACTTCACTTGCACATACAAATATACTGGCACTAAGCACTTGCGCATACTATCAGGCATATGCTGTACATGGCTACATACAGTTATTCATGTGTAGGACAGTAGCCTAAATCAGCCACTGGGTGTTGCAGCTGCAATGTTTATTCCCAGGTGAATCCCGGTTTTGGTGTTTGACCACTGTGGGACACCGTAGCTTTGAGGTGTGTTCCGTGAGGGACTCCATCTTGGTTTAATGTTTTCTTCTCTCACGGTACAAGGTAAGCAGTGTTAACAGCAGACTGTGTCATCTTAAAATAGCTTCATTTGAATCAACTTCCAGTCTTTCTGTTAAAACTGTGTGTAAACAACATGTTAGTTTACAGTTTACCACGGGTCTGAGACATGAGCAGTTGTATTTCCTGTGTTAAGGTTGTTCATAGTATTGGCTATTAAACAAACTAATAAATGAAGGGAACAACCTACTGAAAGGTGTCACACCGCATTGAGGTCTAGTTGGGGTTTTGTCCCGTCTCCGTGTTTTGTCTTTTGTCATTTCCTGTTTTAGTTTGAAAAGTAACTCTCCTCTCGTTTCAGGTCACTTGCCCTTCCTCATGTGTCTCGGTCTGATTGCCCTCTGAGTGTTTTCACCTGTTCCCCTTGCCCAGTGTTTAAATAGTGGGTGTCTCCCTTTGTCTTGTGCCAATGTGTTTCGTCTGTGTGCGAGCACCTGTTCTTCTTCCTCCAAGTGAGAGTTTTGAGTTGCAAGTTTATATCCTAGTTTGGTTTCATAGTTAAGGATTTCATAGCCTTTTGTTTCCTCCGTGTGGAGTGATCTTTTGTTTACTGACCTTTTATAGAGTAGAGCCTCCAGTTGGCTGGAGAGTTTTTTTTTTACAGTGTGTTTTCCTCCTTTAGTGGAGTGATTATTATTTTGATATTTTTCATAGCCTCATGTATAGTGAGGGCTGGGTCTATAGCCTATTTATTTCTCCAATTGGAGGCGCTCTGAAGAGATAATAAAAACAGTCAATTGAACCCTGCATCTGTGTCCTGAGTCCTTGCCTGGTCATGACAAAAGGCTGACTGACTGTAGAACCTGTAGAATAAAAAGCTTGTAGAATATGATACAAAATCTATAGAAATGGACTAAAAACACGCAAAGCCACAGTTGAGTGAACAAAAGGACAGCACCATAGCTGTGCTACTGAATATAACTTGAACTTAAAGCAACGTTTGAGCAGAGTTAAGCACTATCCATTAGTAATTCAAGGAATGAATCCATCAACTATGTTTTCATTTCACATAAATATTTAACATCAGAAGACTTTTATATAAGAAAACTTTCTTTGGGAGCAAAATGTACTTAGTGGAAAAATTAAGCAGCCGACTCCTCCGAGTGTCTTTTAGAACAACTGAGGGCCAAACAAGACATTTTCAGGCAAACATGTTTCACCTAACTCTGATTAACTGAAAACAGAATGACAAGTCAAAGGTCCGACACGCTCCGGCCTCTTTCTGGATTAACAGGCAGTCAATCACACAGTAGCCATGCCCTAAAACCACTCTGCTTTATCGTCTATTTTCTTTTAAATGGGAGCATGATTTGACAAATGAACATCATGTTGTATTGAAGAAAACTTCAAACTAGTAACTGAGACCATAAACACGTTACAAACTGAGGTAATAAATCAAATGAGAAGAGGGGTCATTTTCCCATAGACTTCAATACAATCAGACTTCTTTTTGCAAACAGTGGAGTCGCCCCCTGATGGTCATTCGATAGAATGCAGGTTTAAGGCACTTCCTCGTTGGCTTCATTTTCCAGACCTGGTATCGACGTCCATTACACACCGTCTATGATAACAGCCTGCGGTGCAATGTAAACTGATTTTCACAGGAAATGCTACCACACTGTGGCCAAACATGAAACTGCACCCTCATTTTGCTCAAGGCTCTTCTGCTTATACAAACATCACAGCTACAAAATAGAGGTCCGTACACAGAGTGTTCATGATCAGACCTTGACGTTACATAAATCACATTTCATTCAAAGTATTCATATATCAATGAATTATTATTATTGTTATTGATTTATGATCACAATCTAAGTTTTGATCCACTTCCTGACTTACTATCATTGTCTCTCATGTCTTCACTCTTACACTTCCTAGCACCAACATCCTACATGTACATTGTCTGACAGTGCCAATCACTGCTTTTATTGAGCAAAATGGTGCAAGACTCATTTACGTAAAGTTTTTCTAACGTAGTCTGTATTGTATCAGGTGGATTTGGATACAGTATCTACTTGAAAAGCACCTCTGAACAGGGATTCAAACTAACAACAACCATCCAGACAAATTAATTTAATTAGATTTTAACCAACCTGAAATTACACAATGCGTCCAACTGATA